CTCTCGAACTTTGCACCACAGACAGTACCAGTAATAGAAATTCCATCCTCGTCCATTCATCTCTCTCCTCTCTGCGCACACAGTCTCCAACCTCTACCGTTGAAACAGTCAGCCTCGTCGACACCGGCAGCTCAGCCTATGCCTTCGCAGATGACCAGGGCATTGCAATCAAGTATGGCGCTCAGAAGAAGCGCCTAGCTCAGCCAAAACCGCTCCGCCTTGCGGATGGAGTAGCCTCCAGTTTCGTGACTCACTACTTCGTATCACGGATGACTGTTGGAAGCCACAGCGAGATCGCACTGTTTTACGTCACGACACTCTCCGCCCGGACCCCTATCATCCTGGGTTTACCATGGCTCCAGAAACACAACCCTACCCTGGACTTCGTGAACCTCAGGGTGGCCTTCACATCGGAATACTGCGCGCACCGCTGCATTGACTGGGCCACCCCCTCCGAGAAACGCCTCGCCCCCGTCGGCCAGTCTGCGACTCCGACGGTCAAACATCACCAACCTACAGTTGAAAATGCCGAGGACCACGAGGATATACTCCTCCAAACCGATTTTCTGGAGGATCGGACTACGAAACCTCGTCGTCGAGTCCACTGGGCCGCGAGCACGGAAACTATACCGAACCCAGTGTACGTAAACGTGCTGCCCAAGGCACAGTCAGCTCCACCGTTTCCATCCCAGCCGACCGAGATGCGTGAAGGACCTATACGACACCCGAACCACCGTTTGATGCCGTTCGCCGGACGGAGCGCACTGAAAACGGCTACCACATCAGCAGGCCCCGAAAACAAAGCAATGGACACATTTCCACCAGCTCGCCCAACCTCACACCCCCTGCCTGCCCGCCTCGTGCACGGCCACCGACTCCCGCCCGCTCACAACAGCCGGCCGAGCCGTGTCAGCCAGCCAGACACGCAGTCAGTAGAGCGCCCCAAGACTGACGACATTCGCTGCGTCCGCGGCTTGAATTTCGCTCAGTTTTGCAAGCAAAAAGGCGTCCAGGTCATGAGGATCCATATGGCCGAGCTGAACAAAATATCTGATCAAGAAGAGAACCGTCAAGCTCTCTCTGAGCTCCCTATAAGGCCAATTGAGCTGCCACAACTCTCCGAAACGGCTTATCGCCGCCTCGTCGAAGGAGACTACACATTGAACGAGCAAAGAAAGTGATGCCCGAGTACTTTCACGACTTCCTGGAGGAGAACCTGGCCTCTGGCTCTGAACTCCTCCGCCGCAAGATCGTCGACGAGGACGTTCAAAAGTTTCTAGAGAGCAAAGCACCTGTCACCCGAGAAGGTGTTCTGAAACAGCTGCCACCTGAGTTCCGCCACCATGTCGAGCACTTCCTGACAAAGAACGCTGAATCACTCCCACCCCATCGACCCTGGGACCATAGAATCGAGATCATGCCTGGCAAGCAAGCCCCGTACTTCAAGAACCGGCCATTTTCGCCAGCCGAGCTCCGCTGCATCAAGAAATGGATTGACGAGATGCTTGATAAGGGCTTTATCCACGAGTCAACCTCCCCAGCCGCTGCACCGCTCCTGCTTGCCGCCAAACCCGGTGGCGGCGTGCGTATTTGCCACGACTACAGAGGCCTCAATGAGGTGACGATTAAGAACAGATACCCATTGCCACTGATCCGCGAGACACTGGATGCACTATGCGGCGCCAAGTTCTACACTAAACTTGACGTTATTGCTGCTTTCAATCGCATCCGCGTAGCCGAAGGCCACGAATGGCTCACCGCGTTCATCACCCGTTTCGGCCTTTTCGAGATGCTTGTCACACCATTCGGCCTCTGTAACGCACCAGCTACGTTCCAGAACTATATCAACCATGTGCTCCATGACGCCCTGGATGTCTACTGCACAGCTTACCTGGACGATGTCCTTGTTTTCTCCAAGACTCGAGCTGAGCACACCCGCCATGTTGATGAAATTATCCGACGCCTAGGCACGGCAGGACTACAGATCGACATCAACAAGTCGGAATTCTACACGACAAAGACCAAGTACCTTGGCCTAATCATTTCCACTGACGGAATGACGATGGACCCTGATAAAGTTGAAGCGATCCAGATCTGGAAGGACCCGACCTCGGTGAAGGAGCTTCAACAGTTCCTCGGCTTCGCCAATTTTTACCGACGTTTCATTGAGGGATACTCATCAGTAATCGAGCCGATGACTCGCCTCTTGAAGAAAGGCACCGCCTGGACCTGGGGCCTAGACCAAGCAGCAGCGTTTGAGAAACTCAAGACGGCGTTTTCCACAGCACCAGTCCTCGCCTACTATGACTACACCAAGAAGACAGTGGTCGAGACAGACGCCTCAAACTGGGCGTCCGGCGGAGTCCTTTACCAGAAGGATGATGATGGCAAGCTCCGCCCCGTCGCCTTTTTCTCATCCAAACACACAGCCCCGGAGTGCAATTACGAGATCTATGACAAAGAACTTTTGGCTATTGTCAAGGCGCTTGAAGAGTGGCGTCCAGAGCTGCAAGGTACCGAGGAAGCCTTCGAAATTGTCACGGACCACAAGAACCTGCAGACCTTCATGACGACGAAGCAGTTGAACCAGCGGCAAGTCCGTTGGGCCGAGTTTTTGTCTCAGTTCAATTTCGTCATCACCTATCGCCCTGGAGCCAAGGCCACGATTCCTGATGCGCTCAGCAGATTGCCCGGCGTGAAGCCCGCCGGCGCTGACGACGAGCGCTTGAAACACCGCGAGCAAGTGATGCTGCCGCCTGAAAAGGTCGACCCGACCATCCTGGAAGAACTACTGCGTGCATCTCGCCTGGAAGGCGACTTGGAGTTTGTTGCCGCCATGGATCCCGAGCCAGAGCAGAAATCAATTGATGAGTTAATCCGCCAGGGCTACGCCGAAGATTCACTCACGCAACAAATGCTCGCCGCTTTGCGAGAACGAGGCGAGCGAAACAAAGATCGCACTACGCGCCGCTGGCCCAAGGCGATCCGAAAAATTCTCCGTTGCGACAAGTCTGAATGCTCAATCGTGGATGGCTTGATCTATTTCCGAAATCGGCTGTTCGTTCCCGACGCCCCCGAGCTGCGACTTGAAGTGGTACACCGGACTCACAGCAGCGGCCCAGCAGGCCACCCGGGCCGAGTCAAAACCCTAGACTTGCTGAATCGCACCTACTGGTGGCCCGGGATCTCACAATTCACTGCCACGTTCGTGCGCGACTGCGCTCTATGTTTTCGAACGAAAACTCCCCGTTCCGCGCCCCCAGGTTTCCTCAAGCCCCTAGAGCTCCCAGCCCGGCCATGGACGGATATTTCCATAGACCACATGGTCGACTTGCCCGAATGCAAGCGCAACGGCAAGACTTATCGCTACATCTTCGCAGTAGTTGACAGGCTCACGAAAATGCGACACTTGGTCGCAGTCACCTCGCTCGACACAGACGAGCTGGTTGAAGTCTTCTTGCACCATGTCTACCGCTTACATGGCGCTCCAGGGACCATCATTTCTGACCGCGGCCCATCCTTTGTCTCCGACTTCTGGCGCCGGCTCAGCCACCGCCTGAAGGTCGCCCTTCGCCCGAGCTCAGCTTTTCACCCCGAGACAGACGGCCAGACGGAGAGCATCAACGCCGCTATGAACAAGTATCTTCGCGGTTACGTCAGCTTCACTCAGGACGACTGGGTGGACTGGCTCCCCCTCGCCGAATTCGCTGCCAACAACCAAGTCAATGAAACTACAGGGGTTTCGCCGTTTTTCGCAAACTATGGATTCAACCCGCGCCTCGGCATCGAACCCCCGGGGCCTGTGCCATCCGCACTCCCAGCCCACGCCAAGAAGGAATTTCTCCGTGCGGACGCCGTTGCCGGACGATTCGAACGCATTCTTACTCAACTCAAAGCTCTGGCCAAGATTTCACAGCAACGGTATGAGGACAATGCCAACAGTAAACGGGACGAGGCTGTAACGTTCAAGGTCAACGACATGGTCATGGTGAGCTTGGAAAACATGAAGACCAATAGACCTAAGAAGAAGTGGGATGACAACTGGGATGGGCCGTTCCCGGTGCTGGCAGTCTATAGGGGCGCCGTTGTCATCGACCTCCCCGATCACATTCGCGTTAATAAGAGCTTTCATACTTCGAAAGTCCGCCTCTGGCAACCCGAACAGATTCCTGGCCAAGCGCGACTTAACGCCGCGGAGCGACGTAATATCGCTGGCCGCATCGCTCATCGAGATGACGACGGCAATATCGAGGAAAGATGGCAGTTCGAGCGTATCCTGGACGTTCACGATGAAGACATTGAGAAGCATGGTCTGACTTACCGGATCAAGTGGAAGTACCACGATAAACCAACATGGGAACCCGAAGAATGCTTGAGAGGCTGCGACCGCGCCCTCCTGCAGTTTCACGAGCTGAACCCCAAGAAGCCCGGGCCCCCGACTTGGGTTGAGAAACCCCCCGCGCCAAAGAGGCCGCGACGGAGGCCACGAAACACATGATATGGGGATTACTTCTTCGGTTTGAGGACAAACCGGCTTGGGAGGGGGAGTACTGTCACGGCACTGGACCGCCGATCCCTAGGTCACGTGGCACATTGCACTTAGCTTCAGGTTCTTCCATCCATAGCTTCCTTTCCTCTTCATAGAGCAACGCAGTTATCTTCCCAGACCTACTATGGTTCCTGTGACACTATGTTTACCGTCTCTAATTGTTCAAGGCTTGTGCAAGTCGGGGGGGCGAAGGGGAATGGTACGGCAGATCTTTGCCGGAAGGTGTTGAATTCCGGCTGTTGGGTGACGCTTTGGAGACAGACAACGAAGGGGTTATAATTGAAAGTATAGAACTAGAGAACCAAGGTGATCACGGAGGAGAATGACAAGGAGCGAGCTGCTGATCGGCTGGCCCCCAAACATCGAAAAGGCAAGAAAGTAGGAAACGCAGAGCTACTAGGCCTCTCGGCTTCAGCCCAAATGCTGTTAAGACAGGAAAGTATGTATGGACCTAGAGGTTCTTGAATTCTTTGCGGACCAAAGCACATAGGACAGATACTTTTTCAGGGTGCCAACCCAGGCCGTGTATAAGCAAAGCCTTAGAAATAGTTTCAAGCTCTCTCCCAAAGGTGAATTGAGACCAGAGCCCGAGCTCCCTCAATTGGGGGCCTTCTGCCCAGCCCTTCGTAGGCCACTTCTGTTCAACATCATCGACACGCGTAAAGCCCGCTTCAACAAGCATCTCTCGATACTGAGAGGCAACATGGATGGGGCGGTCTATGTTGTCGGCAGCTTCGGCAAGAAGCCTTTCTCAAGTGAGCAGGTGGGGGGCACCCTCGAGAGTGCCGTCATCGCACTTGGGCGTAAGGAGGATGTCCTTGACCTCGAAATACCCGCCGGGTTCCAGATGTCTAGCGTGCGCAACGTTATTCAAGCAATAGGGGTTTATTGGGGTAACATACTGAGACGCCTGCTTAAAGATGTTTGTAGGATCTTAGGAGCATCCACCCAGCATACGACCGTGGATAAAGTCGAAGTTTTAGCTCCACGCCACTCCATCCGGCATCGTCAATCTGGAACCCGCGGTTTGGAGGCACCAAGTTGGGCTTGATAGGCGGATATCCACGCCGATCACGGATCCTCATCAGCAAACTCTATGGCCCATATGCCAGTACCGGTGCCGATGTCAAGGACACCTCGAAACCTCTCTTTAGGACAGAGCAGTAGTCTTTCGTCGTATGACACTCGCCACTGCGCGTGAAGCATGTCGAGGCGCTTTTGCTCTTGGTCGTCGTTAGGCAGTGGGTACTTGTCGGGATTGTAGCATGTGCGGCCTTTCTCTTCGACGACGGGGTATATCGCTGGGCAATGGGCATGTCGACTCTGTATCCTGGGTCCAGCATCAGTCAAGGTGCTATAAGCAGGGGAAGGCGTCGCGAATTAGCGACTGCGGAGTCCGTGTCACCTTCGCCGGACACCAGGCTTGTGGCCGTTGACTTGTTACCCAAGGTATCTGGATATCTCTACGGAACAATGAGTTGTGTAATACGTTGATGTCTAAAGAACGGTCCAATGCGAACTCCATATCCCTAAGGACGCAAGTATCCCAAGCGTGCACAGCTCGCCAGCCCTTGCCTTGGCACCTCATTTAGGAAAGTCTGTCGCTGTCTCTCTACACCTAGACTTTGTAGCAAGCGTTAGCTAAATCCGCCAACTACTGTCTACCTCGGCACTCACCATCGAGGGCATCGTACCCGGTACCGCCTACATCATTGACGGCTTGCTTAAGAGCGTTGGTGGCTTACCCTGTGATTGTACAATGCAGGGCATACTCCAATTGGCGTGAAGCGAAGCTTCCTCCGTCGCCGACATTATAGTCATCAGTTACAACCGGGCTTTTCTGTTTCCTAGTTTCTGACAGAAGACGGATTCGGAGGACGACCACAAACTGGTGATAAGTCGGCTGTCCCTAAGACCGCTTGCTGTTTTATGCCGTTCTTTTTGTGTACGACACATTATCGCAAGCAACAGGAGCGCAGCCCCCCACGGTCGCCCGCCCACGCTCTCCATACTCAGAACAGCCCTAGAGTGTAGAATTCTCTTTATGCTTACGACATATATGGCGAGAAAACAAAAGCGCAAAATGCGAACGGTGCTACCATTCCGATGATGGAAAAGAGCTAACGAACATGTTGATCAAGAGAGGAGTACCTCCCGGGGTTTTTTGCGCAAAAAGCGCAATGCGGTTGGGAAATACCTTAAGGATGACAGGTTTACCAGGTCTGGATATTTCTACCTTCGGGGATGTTCTTGAAGTACCGGGTCCAGTTGGTGGGGTCGGTGTCGATGTTGCCCAACTTCTGAGTGTGTTAATTGTTCTTAATCATGAATGTGATAAGTTATCGGTGGGACGGGAGGCCGGCGATAGGGTCGACGCGCTCGAAGGAGATCCCTTCGCCAGTTGTTGAGCTGCCACTGTCCTCGGGGGACTCGTCCTCCCACCCTTCGTCGTCATCATCAATGGCACTCTCAACAAGAGGGTCATGCTTAATGTGGCTGGTGGCTGAAAACGTGAAGCTTTGTATGGCAGGTTGGTTACTGAACCAGGTAGTTCCCATCTGCCCATTGTTGAGCTCCGGTTTGTGAAATTGCTGGGTCAGAGCGCTTGGTGTCCCCTTCTTCAAGGCTGTGGAGCGGGGAGTAGCGGACAATGGCGTAGTGAGTGGCCCTTTGGCATCCATGATAGAGACAACCATCTTCTCTCGCTTGTCCGAGGTGATGTGGCGTCCGAGACCCCGGCCGCGGCTGCTAGCGAATCTCGGCCGTACGGTATCCGGCGGGGGGGTTTATGTGTTTATATCAACTGCCTTTCTGTCGGCGACCGAGTTAACGCCGCCTGAAAGCTGGGGGAGCTCCCCGGTGAAGTACAACTCACCAGTCTACATGTTTAAAAAAATCAGCGCTGTTTGTTGTGCCAATTTTTGTGGATGACGTCCGTTTCAACTTGCAGGATGGGAGTGTCTAGTACCAATGATATGCTGATTATAGGCTGCTCAAATGCTCGGTAGGTGCTCATGATAGTCGGGACATAGTTACGGCGGACCACGATAGCGAAGGATTGCCGTTGTCGTTTGGTGCTTTCGTGGCGGATGTTCGACTGTCTGCAGGTGTGCTGAGAGCGTCAACTGCCTATCTTGTTATGGTCGCGTCGTGCTGGTAAGGACTGGAGGTAAGAACGAAAGGGAGGGGTGGACGCGAGGCTCATATATAAGTACCTAGGCTCGAGCTAGATAGCGGAACTTGGTGCTCAATTCGTTGTGAACCACAGATTACCAAAGCGATGCCCCGACATATACACCTTGTCAGTCTCGCTCCTAGTGCTACTCGCAAGTCCTAGCCAATGCCAGGAGGAGGCATTGGTGGCACAGGGTTCCGGCAAAAAGGCTAAAGCGAAAAAGGAAGGGTCGAGGAAGAAAGGAATAGTGTACAATGCTGTCTCCAGGCGCACCTCCCCCCTTCCACACCTCCCCCCTGATTTCCAAATTCGACCATTGTCCAAAATGGACCACCAGCCAAAATGGATTACACCGTCCAAACCGGCTACCAACTTCCCAACTGTTTCTCTTATGAGAATCTCTTCGTGGACATCCATGGGCGATTCTCCCTATCACGATCACTTTCCACTCTCAGGCGCTCGGCGCTAATACTCGCGGCCACGCACTCACCACGGAGAGAGAGCTGCCATACATTTGGGTTTGAGGATCCAACATGCTGAGAATCATACCGCGCCTGACAAATGCAGTTCAATGACCAGCCCCATTATCGAATTTCGTGTATATATTTCTGGCCTTGCACCTAGCGCGCGAACTGGACGTCTGCATGATCTCCATATACGGCCTAGTGACTACTGCACCTCCCCACAGCCATATCAGTTGCCGTATTGCCTCTTTTCGTCCCGATGCAGAAATCTCTCGGCTTTGTTTGGCGGCTGCGAATCGGCTCCTTTTGTTCCACCATGTGCCTAAGTGTCCTAAGCTTCACACCGATGGTCCTCTCGAGACGCCGATATAACCGCGTAAAGACGAGAACGAAGACCTCCCCATATCCTACCGTCTATATCGCTTACCCAAGGGCTTTCGAAATTGCCTGGATCTCCCACCACTTGGTTGTCGTTGTCTTCTCTACCGCGTTCTTCGCCATCGGCTTAGTTTATACAAGGCACGGTGGCCTAACTGACGGTGTAGACCCAAGGTGGATGCGATCGAGCGGCGATCTTGCCGTCGCTGTTCAACTCTATCACAGTCTTTACGCTCGCCGTACGCTTCTTTGACTGCCCTTCTCGTGCAGCCATCGCACCGGCGGCGGGGTATTGGCCAGAGCCTACATGACCACGCTCTGCGTCAGCTCACAAAGATACGTGGCGTCTGCCGTCTACAACTCGGGAGCACTTTCCCTCGCCTCCTCTACGGGTTGCCCGTTGACTCGCCCTCAGAAATCTGGTTTGGACAACAGGACGGCCGTGCTAATGCTTATTAATCAGATGACGTGCCGCGCAATTCTGTTATGATCAGGTTGCTCGACACCTGCATCCGCGTCCTTAAGGATGCGGGGACGAACAAGTTGTTCATCAACGGCATGAAAGGGGAGATGACGGTCTCTCGGAATTAGGGTTCCGAAAGTGGGCAAGATATCTAGAGGTCTGGAAGGATGTCCGGATGGTGGGAGTGAGGCGAATTGATTAATACGACCTGATTCATTTTGATGGGTACTGGTAGTTTTGAGGGCTTGGACAACGGGGTTGCCCGCGACACTATACCCTATTACGGCACCAATGTTGAAGATGACCGTATAATATCTGTATATATATAATCAATGATTACCAACTACTTCCCTGGGAGGGTTACCTTTGGTGTACCCCGGTTGAAGCGATTAGCGAGTTGAACGGTCAATATAATCATAGCCGGACAAAGTCGGCCATCGTAGGTAGGTTCACGTGCTGCTCGTTGCGGCATCACGAAAAAGGATGCTGAAGGTCTTGAAGTCGAGCTTAATTGGAATATCCTACTGATGGTTCGCGGTCTCAACGGTGACGATGCTCTTTCGTGCCGTGAGGAAGGGGTCCTCAACACATAACGACTGTGCAGCTGTTGTAGTACGTTAGGCTGAGCAAGGATAGCTAAGATGGTGGCAGAATCGCCCAATTGTCGGGGCGTTGTTTAGAAACCCGCGGATACCAGTGCCAGCTCAAGGTAACCCAGGTCTCCCGGTCCCGACGATCGTGTTCTCTACTGCCATACGGTAGCAACCCAGATCACCCAAACCCTCGACCCAGATATTCTCGTACAGAAGAGCCATAATCGGGTAGGCAAAATAGATAAAGCTTAGACTAGCATAAGATGCAGACTTTCTGGGAGACATTGCCTGAGAAGCTCTCCAGACAGCTATGGGTCCATGCCTCCACACCCGGGCAACTAGTCGGAGCGCATGAGGCTTGCTACCTATCCTGCTCATGGAAAAGGAGAGCTGAAGGAAGGAAGCTCTATCGAATGGAACTGGCAATGGGTAGCCCAATTATTTATAGATCCAGAGGTCGCCGACGGGCACCGAACCATTTTTACACCGTGACACCCTCAGAGGTTGGCGATGATGCAGGGCAGCGCAAACAGTCCTGAGGCTCGTAATGAATGAGAAAACTAGACCTGCACAGTGGGTAGTGTGGGTGTGGAGGTAGACAGAATCGAATCCAAGGAATGCCATCGCAAGTGACGTGCCCAAACTCCGTGACATCCAAGAATATGTCGAGCAATATAAGGTTGAGTGTGAGGTACCAGCTGTGAACCCCATGGCCTCCAGTACTGCTCAGAAGCTGTCCGCCGGGACTACGACCCTTGCGTATACCGGGTATCATGCTGGTCTGGAATGGAGGGCAACGTACAAATGCCACCCGCCTCCGTTTGATAGCAGTGACAGTTACCACTGGCACTATATGGATTTGTATTTATCATGTGCCTCACCGGCGGGATAATTCTATGGGCACTAGGCTTATCCCCTCTGCAATTAATGGACAAGCCTTCCTGGTTGCTTCCACGTGCCAGCTCCCGCCGTTATAGGAAGATAAGCTGTCTCGCCTGCTGGTGGAATTCCCCGAACTGCAAAGAATGAGGCAACCCTTCCTGCTCTTTCTTCATTATGCCTAATAACATGACAGGTTCGCGTTCTATTCGCAACCGCGAGTCGACTTACACGAAAGATTTTGCCAGTTGCGCCGGTAACCGCGAGGCGGCTCGATCAGGTTTTCCCCAATACCGTAAGGCGGTTGCTCGTTTCTCGACCTCCGACGATTTTTCATACTACCCCCTGCATTCAAAGTCTTCCACTTCAACAGCGATCTATTCGCTTTCAGCGCAAAAAAAACTGAGCTTGGAAATAAAACACTACAATGAATTGCCAGCTACTACAAGTTTAATTACGTCAAAAATATATCGTTGTCAAAACCAGGCGCTAACGAATAAACCAGCCGAGTTATCGCCAATGCCATACAGGTTCTGTCGATTACTACCAAGGTAACTCAAGGCCACCCAACCAACACTCGCATCTAGCAACTGAGTCATTTACTACTAGTGTAGATTGGCGGAATCTAATCAAATTCCACTTAAACAATCCATAACCTTGGCCCACCCGGCCATCGACTTCCAGCTTCTCAAGTGGCCAGTTCATACAAACCTGTCTGAGGCGCCCGCTTGCCAAGATGGTTTCTGCCTTCTCCAGCTCATGCAAACCGGTCTGAGGCGGCCGCTTGCCAGGGATAATTTTTGCTTTTCCAGCTCAGGCAGAGCGGTCTGAGGCGTGGCCTTGCCGGGGAAGTTCATACAAACCGGTCTGAGGCATCCGCTTGCCAGGGAAGCCCAGGCAGACCGGTCTGAGGCCAGCTTGACAGGGGTCTGAGCGGCCGCTTGCCAAGGATGACTCTTGCCCTCTCCAGCTCAGAGCCGCCCGCTTGCCATGGATGATTCTTGCAACTCAGGGCAGACCGGTCTGGGGCGGCCGCTTGCCAGGGATGATCTCTGCCTTCTCGAGGCGCCGCTTGCCAGGGACAGCTCAGACAGACCGGCCTGGGCGGCCACTTTGCCAGCGATGAGGGGCCTTTCGTTTGTCCGTGCAGGCAGAAACCATCCCTGGCAAGCGACCTTCCCTGGCAAACGGCTGCCTCAGACCGGTCTGTCAAAGCTGGGAGAAGGCAGAAACCATCCCTGTTAAGCGGCCGCCCAGACCGGTCTGTCTGAGCTGTCCCTGGCAAGCGGCCGCCTCACACCGGTCTGCCTTGGCTTCCTTGGCAAGCGGCCGCCTTAGATTGGTCTACTGTGGTATGATGGGTAATGAAAATCTCCATGCGGGGTACCCACGCTAACCGAGAGTAAGGTATCCACACGCTTCCACAGTAAATACAGTAAACAACTAATTAAATATTTTGTATGCATACCCTTGGCTGCAATCACCGCCTTGCACCGATCTGGCATCGAGGCCAACAGTTCCCAGAGGGCTTGTACGAGTTGATGGTTGAGCGTCAACGAATGGGATGTAGTTAGCGTGCCAAGGCCCTTTAGGCTTCGTGCCTCCGGGCGAAATAAATTCCATCCATCCATCCAACAGTTCCCTCAAGTCGTCGTCCGGTAGTGCCTCCCAAGCCTCCTTGACATACTGACGTAGCTTCTCGTATGAGGGCTTTTCTTCAAGGCCATACCGGTCTTCGATCCAGTCCTTCATCCAATTCCAACAAGACTCAATAGAATTCAAGTCCGGTGAAAAGGGTGGCCATTCCATCACAACAATGCCTCGCTCTCTGAGATCTTCCTTCGTCTCTGCGGCTGCATGCCCTGGAGCACCATCTTGCATCAGGATCAGATCCTCATCAAGCTGTTCCTTGCACAACTGTACCCAGCCGTGAATCAGTACAGTATGTGCGCGGTAGGTTTCGGTGTTGATCTTCCCCAAATCCTTTTCCCAGAAAATCCCAGGGCCTTTGCCTAAGCCAGAGAAGCAACCCCAGAACATCCAGCCACCCTTGCGTTGATGCTTTTCCACAATGCACGTAGGATCCCACTCCTCGCCTTGACGTTGGGTTACATACTGCTTCCTATGCGGGCCACCAGTAACCGAGCTGTCCCCGTCAAGCCGGCGCCTCAGGCCTGAGCTGGCAGACCGGTCTGCATGATTTCGGCCATCTGAGACAGCCGCTTGCTCGTCCCTGGCAAGCTCCTGCCTATGACCCGTCTGCTTAAGCTGGAGAGGACGGAGGCAGCCGACATGGAATCCAAACCGCCAAAAAGGAGGGTTCTCAACCGCTTCAGTTTTTGCATCATGAAACATCATCGACAATGAAAGTAACGTCATGATCACCACTTGTCCGCTTGTTTCTGATATACCCTCTGCCATGATTCAGGAGTTTAAACGAAGGAGAGAAGAGGAAGCCAACAACATCCTGTTAAGTAGGTAGGCAAGCTGGGCAATTTATGTCGATCGTCTCCTCAGCGTGGTTGTGGACTTCCAACACCCGTGCTTCTCTACGTGCTTGATGACTTTGGAGGCCGGTGGTGGCGCTTCAACAAATCGACGTTCATATTTCGAGTGCCCTTACCTCGGTGATTCGAGGACAGGAGTTTCAACTTCGCACTATTGGGCCGACCCGGCTTCCGGCTTCCGCGCTGTGGGGCCAGTTCCATTCCGTGCTGAAGCCGATCTATGTTTCCACGGGGCGAATCCACGACTGTGTGTCCTAGCTTCTGCGACAGGTTGTAGTTAGAAATGTGATACGCCGCCCTCCCCTCCGCCCCTCTCGCCATATCACCGGTGTCATGAGAACGAGAGACCTCCGACGGTCGCGATGGCAAGGCAGGGGGTTGACCCGGGCTCGGCGCCTGCTGGGACGTGAACCAGCAAGGTTCGACGCGGGGTGCTCTCAGAAACAGAACTTACACCGAAATTCATCTCGGCTGTAATCGCTGTGTACATTTCCTCGTCATACTGCCGCTTCTGTCCATCGTATAGCTTCTTTCGCGTACCAGCCTTCTCTTGATGAGCCCGCTGTAGCTCTTCAATCTCGAGGCATCTGGCTTTGATAACTGACTCAATTCTCTCGCGGGAAAGCGGGTCCAGATGGGATATCTCAGCTATCCGCTTCTCAAAGTCGGCGTAGATGGCTGCCGAATTCCCGTCCAGCTCTGGACGCGCCTGTTCCTCTTGGGCGCGATACTGACGCGAGGGTTCTCAATACAACAAGGGTTAAGTTGCAGCCTGTTAGAGCGTATGATAAATAACGTTAATTCTTATTATTTCTAATATGAAAACTCGTCAGGGCCAGTCACCATTTGCTATAGGACTTGTACTCGAGATCGGCAAGGAAATAACGAGCTTCAAGGAAAAGAGAACAAAATTATCTCGCGCCCATTTCTCCTTTTACTACCACTGGATAGAGACGCCGGCAGTTAGATCTAGAAGATAGTTCCCTTCACGAGGATCTGTTCTAACCAAACCACATTCCGTTGCCACTCCAAATTGCTTAGCACTAGCTTTGTAAGCCGACGCAATTCTCTTCTGAGTGTTTTCCAAGCCATCTGGGTGCAGAACTCCCAAGAATAACTCTGTAGTTTCGGGTAAATCAAGTTTCTTTAACGGAGCGAAATAATCCTCATCTGTCCTATCCCTGGGAACCGGCATATGGATCCAGGCAATGTCGTGGACTTTGCGGACCTCTCGAACAAGTTTGGTTGCTACTTGGACCATTAAGCCCATATCTTCTGGCTCCACAAAATGCTGGTGTCCAAGTCTCCGTAACAGAGATGAAAACCAATCTCTACCTTGGGTCCTACGGCGGCCGCAAGTCTCCCTAGCGCCTCGAGGTTACGATCAAGCGGATCGTCAAAGCAGCACGTAAATAGCGGGTCTTCAAGTCAACCGCGCTTCGACTCGAGTAGTGCAATCGTAATGGCGACGTCCCACTGAATGGCCAGTTCGCCATGCGGAACTGTATGTTGAATTCGCTCCAAAGCCAACTTTAAGTGCCGCTCGTATAGCTCAGTTGCTTTTGATTGGTGACTTTCACGAACGAAAGCCACCGGAACCTCGATTGGCGACGGTAGGGATACTTGAAAGCGAATATTCGTTGGGATTTTTCCAGCTGCCTTTGCTTTGGCAAAAATGTGATAGGAAGAAATCGCAGCATCGTCGTACATAATATTCAAATCCCCTTGTTCAGGAGCGATATGTAAATCGTTCATCTTGCCTCCGTTTTGTGCCACCGTCCTCTTCAGTATCTCGTCGGGAAACACGGCTTCTTGCCACGTAATGTACTGGTTTCTAATTCCGAGCTCTCCGTCAGGTATACGCTTCAGACGCCCTGGGAGTTTTATTATTATTCCTACGCCGCTGTGCCCTAGGGCGTGCCGGACCTTCAACAACTTACTATACAGGAAAACCGCGCCCTCGTGGGCCGGGTGAAAAACCCATATCGACAATCAAGGAAACGATCAGTGTGCGATCCTGCAAATACAACCTGGGAGTTTTATAAGGAGATCCGAGAAGACATTCGCCGCGGCGGGGTACTCGTCATTTGGTAGAGATCCAACAATGTGAACACCACGAGGGTAGAGTAGGATGCATGATCTTCGTCATGATGGAGTTGGGAACCCTTAGCGAGAGGAGGAGTATATATAGCGAAGTGCAGTTTGACAGGTACGGTCTTGGGCAGAGCGAAGCGTTCATGAGGCCGAATGTAACGAAACTGTAATAAGAGCCACAACTCAGGGTTACGCAAAATGTGGCAGATAATATAAAAAAAACCGCAGGGAATGACTCAAGCAACTTGTGACATACTTGAGATAGCTATTTGTGACGACCTATAGTGAGGAGGCGAAGGTGGCAACATGCGTGTATCCGAGGGGGGCACAGGCGGCATGCGAGGAGTAACATTGCGGAGTTCTTGACATGAGTACAGTAGAAAGGGCCGAGTACTGTACCTGGAAAGGGAAGTATAAGGGTGATAAACCGTTGCCTGGCTACTTTACACTACTTAACGTATCGTTGTTTGAGCCCCGAAATGAGGACGCTGTAACGCCTGTCAATTTTTGCCGTAGCGTCCGTCACCCCGGCCTTCTAGACCTACTGTCCGCCTACGGGATATTGTTTGCATAGTTGTTGAGAAAAAAAGGGTATCATTGAGTTGGTCTCGATGCACCCGAGTGGTTGAACTGTATCCTGCTTCTTATTCTAGTAGGTAGAGAGTGTTTATTCGTTGAACTGCCTAGAGCGGAATGACGAAGCAAGATGCTGGACTCGGCTTGCTATCATGGAGCATGCTAGAGTCATATATTGTTCGGCAACGCCCTTATCAGGCAGCCTCGTTGCTCCAAGATGGGTATGCGATGCGCTGAGCTCCTTGGTAGCTGGCTCATCAATGCGGAGCGCTTGTCGGCAACAGAAAGCATCCCCAGCCACTGAACTGGACGCCACTTGGACAATCCGGGACCATATACAGCTCGAGCAGTCAATCGTTTAAAATGATTAGTCAATCTGTGTACTCGCTGTCAATATGATGCAATACTATTGTAACTTCTCCTCGACGGGGCTTATAAGCCTCAACGAGGCATACCGTTGTGATGCTAGTACTTGCTCACCAAGAAAAGACAAAACAAACATTGCCGTCTCCTAACCTCCAATTACTACCGCCAGCATCGTCTTCGCCTACGCCTTGCGACGCGAGAAGATCTGGACGGCCTAGCTCTTCGATGATAACCCGCACTACTTTGTACCTTCGCCGGCACTTCTATCGCCAGTTTCGAACGGTGGGTTCCACATATGACCACCTCTTCGAGTGAACCGAGAAGTTCTCTAAGCGGATGCGGAACGGGGCCGATTACTCAGCGCCACAAGCTGAATACAATTTACTCTGCTTTCACATTTAGTCCAGTTCTTCCGTTGAAAGTGCTCAAAGGGAAGTAATTAGAATGGTTGACCGAGTAGTGTAATCGCATCTTTAACCCAGCCTTAACTAGACTGCCTTGTCCCCTGCGCGGAAGTGCGTACGCAGATTGAAGAGCCCTCTGGCGAGTATATGCACTCACCTGCGATAATCAATTTCAAGGTCGAACAGTGGGTTGAGAATTGGTACTCATCATCTCAAGTCGAGCTTCCCCCAACGGATGGCATTGAGCACCCTCTCCTCAGAAGATCCAGTGCCGGTTGGAGTTTAAAACTCAGGTAACCGCAGAAAAGCCGTTTCTTCGCGTGATTCACATACTCGAAAGGTACCAGTTCAAGATATTAATAAAGGATAAGCCTATAGCACTCGCAAGACTTTGTTATACCAAGCGCGTTTATTACACTACTATCACTATATCCCTTTGACTATACATCTCGATGACTGCGAATCTCTGTTGCACCCGAGCTCCCAGCAGCTGACTTTTAGACACGCGCTCCTAAGCTCCCGTCTCCAGAGCAGTTCCGAAACCCGCGCCGCGGAAGCACGGTGGCCGGGGCACCGCACCGAGCACAACAAGACCAACTCTCTCAAACCTTACGTTCTGCTGGTACGTCCAAGAACCCCCAGCTTGCCGAAGGCCATGGAACTTATGCGCCCGTTTGGGGTTCCCAAGCTCGATATCACTCTCTTGTCTGCAAAAGTTCGTACATAAGGTAATAGGCGGATCCGAGGACGTGTTTGGAACGGGGGCGCCTCGCTTCTTTTCGACTGAGACTGCAGAGGATAAAACAGGGTCAAGAAGATAAGTATCGGAAAGGCTGATGCCGGGAGAGTGTCGGGGAAGGAGATACGTTAATGAACATAGGTACCTCGTATACTAGACGGCCATCATCTGCCGATTACCTCCAATTCGAAGTGAGTCTCTGTACTCAGCTCGCATACACGTGTCGAGTGTGTTGTTGTAAGATGCGACAGGTCTCGTCGATCAATTACCATAGGTCCATGCAAGCCACGACAGAACAGGATGTTGGGCTGCGGCCGGTTCCAGAACTGCTGGGGTTAAGGCTGACCGCCCTCGAGCGGTCGTGTTGCGTTCGACTTTCAGAAGGAAGGAAGGAACACGTTGAAAACAAAGGCTCGGTGGTCGATCTACGTACCTTACCTACCAGGTAGTTAATCCCTCAATGCAGCCCCTGGTGGTTCCAAATTTCACCGTGCAGCCAACACGGGTACCTGCTTAACCTACCCTCTAACTCCATCCAGTTCTCGTTGTCGGTCGCGTCTCTTCCTTATATTCGATCTTGACCCTCTGCTGTTTGATCCGGTACCTTCGGCCCTTGCCGACTTCCAAGTTCCATCGCAGGTGTTAGCACACAACGGTAGCACATCCGACACTATTGCCTGGGTCGAGCTGCATTGTTTAAACAGCTAAACCCTTCGTACAAACTCCGCACAGATATTTGCGTGTTGTTCGCATTCCATTCTTTTAACAATGGCTATTGTATTCCCGAGGCCGGATTTCCTCTCGTCTACGAGATTCTGGAGCATTTTCCATATAGTTCTCTGGTATGGTTGCCTTTCTTGAGATCCGGGGCGCATCAGTTGTCTTACGATGCTGGTCCTTCGTCCTTAACTCCAGCTTCCGGGCGGCTAACGAGTGACCTCTAGGCTCCATCGCTATGTGCGACTTCTCGTCCACTGCGTCAGTCACTGGACGTACAAATCTAAACAGCCAAACTGGGAGAAGCCGAGGTACACATCCCAAGATGTTACCGTAGTCATCCCTACAATCCATAACCGCCCGGAGGAGCTGCGGCCCTCGCTCGAGAGCATCCTGGCCTGCAAACCGGCTAAGCTAGTGCTCGTCACCACGTGGAACAAGCACGAGGCGCTGAGCCGGGTCGCTGCGACCCTCCGGATGCCCGATGCCGTGTCTCCGGTCGAGATCGACGTGCTCCATGTGGACAAGGCGAACAAGCGCCTGCAGGTCTGCAAGGCCCTGGAAGGCGATCACGTCAAGACGGCCATCACGGTCATGGCCGACGACGACGTGGAGTGGCCGTCTACTCTGATGCCCTGGCTCCTCGCGCCGTTTGAGGACGACAAGATGGGCGGGGTTGGGACGTGCCAGAGGGTGAAGCGCGTCACCGACGGAGACGCCACGACGCGCATCTTCAACTGGCTAGGAGCCGCCTACATCATGATTCAGGCGCACGCTGAGCAGCAACAGCAGATGTCCGAGCATGCATCGGCCACGATGCGACCAAGTGGCTTGGTGCTGCAGAAGACGAAAAGCACCTGCCGGATCCGGTAATCGACCTTGTTCTTCATCATGGTCATTTCGGTGGCGCTGGGTGGGTTGGCGGCAACCCAGGGGTAGAAAACCCGAATGTTTTCGGTTTCACTCAACAGATCCTTAAAGGTTGCGTGATTGGTGGGTTTGAAGAGGTCGGGATAAATCTGGTCGAGCGATTGACTGGACTTTCTGGCAGCACTGCGGATTGTCGAGCCGCCTCGAGTCCTCCTCGATGATGCAGTACTGGGCTGGGTGCCAGGAGCATTGTGGGTTCTGCTCGGAGTGGCGGCAACGACCGGCTCGATGCGTGCGGTGGGCTGTTTCGCCCGGGTCGCCATGGTCGGGGTAGGTTCCGATTCTTGATGATGTGAGGTGATGCCTGTCGGCGTGGCGGAGGTCGGCAAGATCGTGCTAACCATTGTCGTGCTCTCCGGTGCAGTGCCTTGAATACCGGCGAAGTCAGTAACTATTTTCAAGTCAGTTCGGATTATAGGACATAGCCCGAGTATGCGGCTGCGAATTACCTTAAGGGGTGCCCGCTTCTAACCGCACCCGTCGTGAATCGCGAAGGCCGCGGTGGGCCGGTTTGCGTGGTGTTTTCGCCGGGATTGGCCATATTCGCTGTCGTAATGGCGATAAAAAAAAAACAGCTCAAATTGATTCGATCACCACCTGCCAGTTGCAGTGGTGCTGTTGGCGTTGATGGCGCGGTCGGTGGTTGTGGTAAGAGGTGGCCATACAAATAGTATCGGGTCAAAGACATCGCGAAGTGCATCGCATCGCGTCATGGTGATGTCGCATTTGATCAAAGCGGCGCCGTTTAGGGGTTTGTGCGGCTTCCAGTATGCGATAGGAAGGAAGGAACGGCCGTCCCACCCCAATCAGCGAGCCGTCTGCTCAGGTAGCCACAAACTCCCGTCTCTCGGAATTTTCCTGGCAACAACTGCCTACCGACGCGTTCTTCTACCCTATCACAAACCAAATTTCCATTCAAACGCCATCAGAAGTGCCAACAGCGTGAAGATGTCCGACCAACCGAAGGGTCTGAAGTCGCGCCGCCTTCACAATACGGCACGCAAGCAACATCTATCGGCGCAGAAGCCGGATTCTCAGTCTGGTGACAGTGGCACGGGGCCTAGGCAGTTGGCATCCTCTGCTTTTGACGACGATACCCATTCCGCGAGTCCACAAGACCCAGAAATCCTACCTGATGTGCCGATCTATGGTATTGAGAGCGCCGATGATATTGGCGACACTGATTTCGATGATGACCATCTGTTCCCCCAATCAAATACCGATTCTGGTAACGAAGAAGGTGAGTTATTCCGACGTTTTGCGGATAACAACGCTGACCCTAGTGCCAGCCATCGTTGATGTCGACGCGCTTCGAGCCGGCGGCATTGAAGATGCGACGTCACGTACTCTTCGACCCCAACTCGATATGAGCGATGTCCTTGGAGCTGGCGAATACGAAGAGTGCATCTGGGTCGGGGAGGTTCAGCCAACTGAAAACCTTCCGTTCGATGATGAAGGAATACCGCCCGAAGAAGATGACCGAGAGTCTACCAGCCAAAACGGTTCACCGATGCGATATACCGACATCGAAGACACATCGGTATTGGTTCCGATGCGCCAGAACAAGTCGATCGAGACATCCAGCTTCGAGAAGGCTCTTGCGACCTTTGCCGATTTGGCTGGTCTAAGCCGTCAAGACTGGACATCCCTTCGGGAGGTGCTTTTCTTGATCCGCGACAAAGATGGCAGTGTCCCTTCAGTGATACAGAGCCTTCCGAAACAGCTCTCGACACTCCGAGACCGTATTCGCCGCCGGATGCCGATGATGAATATGCGCGAGGCCGACATCCCTCTGAACATCTTGAAGTTACCGACAATGCCAGCCAGTTTGAAGCTCGAGGAGCGTCGCTAGGTTGAAATCGCACGGGCTCAGGCAGAAAGCAGAAGCGCAGCCCTCACTGCTACCAGAGCAGCGACCAGGATCTCCCGCGATGAAGGTAAGCACAGCACCGAAGCACGAGACGCGGTAGCAGCAGCAGAGAAGGCCAAGAGCCAGTTGGACAGCCTCCGGCAAAAGCACGGTGGTATCAGCCTCAAGGACCTTCCGAGGGTGACGATGCGGCTAACGTTTTTCGACCCTATCACCGTTTTCAAGTACATCATCGCATCCGATATCCTAGGCAGGATACATACAGGCCCAGGCTTGTTCGTCGACAAACCGCCCGCAGTTGTTTCATTCGCACGCTTGGCTGTCCTCGGTCCGTAGCACATCGGGCTTTTACGCACATGTCATCATCGACGGCATACAAGGACCGGCCATCTTCCCTTCCGACTGGGTATACTTCCGATGTACATCAGAGAACTGCGTCCGGAATTGTCGCGACATTGAGGACGACTCTGACGACGTTGTCAATCTACATATCGGCCGGGTCTATGGTGCTGGGCTCGATCACCGCGAAGATTCATGCACACAACTTCGAAACCAGATGTGCCTACAGATTCAGGAGGCATACCGACTTGGCGACCACCGACTCGCAAACATTGAAATCACGCCACCACAGACCGACCGGGAGTTGGCACTGTCTGCGAACCTGGTTTATGTTCCGGAGACCAGTGTATTCGGGCATCTCCATGTGTACATTGACCACCACACTGGCGAGGAACACGAAGACCCTGGCTGGAAGCCGCCTCGACGTACGAACGGACCACCTACGGAGTCTCTGCCCAAGTACGTCAGGCCGATATTCGCGAGGGTACGTAGGGAGGATGAGTGGTACGAGTGTCGGCGCATTCTGGTCAAGGAGGAAGTTCTCCCACTCTGTCGGACGCATCCAATCCGTGCAGAGCTCGAACTCCAGCATTTTGGTCGACATGTATTCGAGCACGAGTCGGATCAGGCCAAGAACGATATGCCCGTCGTCTCCCTTCCCCACCTCGATTTCATTGATGGTTTCGGTGTGTTCCAAAATTCGTACCGAACTTTGATGGGGTTCTACTTTACACCAGCAGGACTTGGTGAAGAGGAACGTTTTCGACCGGGCAGTATTTTCCCGATTGCACTTGGGTAAGTTCAGCTTCCTATCTAACGTACCTCTTGTATGTCAGCAATTTCCAGCCTTCGGGGGTGCCGACTTTAGGCATACAAACTTGCCTCATAATGGCGGGCTTTCTTCATATTTCACACTGACACCGGAGTGGTAGGCCTCATGCATCTGACTTCGGCGATGTCATTAAAGCGCTGAAGACGAAGGCGCATCTCGACGCCGGTATCGTCATGACTATCCGCGCCGAAACCGTCCGTGTCTGCGCATTTGCGATGTGTTACATTGGCGATATGCCTCAACAAGCCGAGAACTCCGGTTTCAAAGGCCCACGAGAACACAAGTTCTGCGGATGCTGTTTCGCGGCCTCCGGCCAACGCGCGGTCAATCCCGATGTCATGCTCAAGTTCGATCACATCACTCACGGCCGGTTCTACATCGAGACACTGGAGATGCAGCAGATGCTGCACCGCTCATTGCAAACTGCCTCGGAGCGGAAACAATATTATACGCAATGGGGGATGGCTGAAGATATTCCGGCACTTCCCCGCCTGTCACCGGCCCTTGATCTGGTCATGTCACGGCCCACCGACGCAGCACACTCTGAGTACAACGGTCTTGGCAACTTGATGCACTATCTCCTTCGGGATGGCATTCTTACAAAGTCAGCACGCTCGGAATATGCTATACAGCGTCGGACTTGGCCTTTCCCACCGGGTTGGCCTCGTTTACAGTCACCGGTTCACCATCTATCAAGCTACAAGATGTCTCACCACGCGCAATGGATCGTCATTATCCCGGCCTTCCTCCTGAACTGGTTAAAGAGGGAGCATATTCGGCCAAGGTTTTGGGACCAAGCTAAGAACTTCGAGAAAGATCCGATTGAGCTGATCATCGAGACTACCGCTGCAATTGCTAAGAGCACTACCGTTCTGATGGGGACCCGTGTGTCGCGTCGGGACCGTTACCTCATGGGCGACATCATCTACCGGGCTCGGTACCTTTTCAACCAGCTTTGCCTATTTGCAGCCGTGGCCTCGACCAGGTCGGCCGCTGCATCGCAGGCAGGGACTCCGGGAGTCCATGTTATCGACGAGCCAGCTCTCCAAGACGGTGTCGCTGATGATTCCGGCCGGGCACTTCAGTACCAGAACGACACATTGCGCCCAAACATTCATGCCGCCGTTCATTTCCCAGTATTTGCCGAGGAATACGCTTTACCTATCAACTGCAACACACTCACAGGTGAAAACTTACACCGACTTATGTCTGATTTCCGTCAGTAATTGTCTCTCACCTGTACCCCTGCCTTGCTTAAGAAACCTTCACTAGAAAACCCGAGACCGTTGGACTTGGCCAGATCTACGTGGTTTGATGTTCAGGTCTTGTCGTGAGATTGTCTGGCTATGGTGCTTGTACTGATGTTAGCACCATGTCTGGAGAACGCCTACCACCAAACTCAAATGTGTTGGACTTGGCGAAATTCGTATGGCTTCGTGTCTGGCTCCTGTCGCGGAGTCTTCTGGCATTATGCTCGGAGAAGGCTTACCAGCAAACACGAAACCATTGACCTCACAGAAATCCGAGTCTGCGTCGCCCATGTTTCGCTCGCTTCACCTCAACCTCTTGTGCCGGGTTTTTTCGAAATAACTTGGTTACCGTCTTACCGTCAGGATTTTAGCTAATGTTAACATCTTTTACTCAAGGTACTTTAAGACTCGTGTCCACGAAACAAATTACTCCAACGTGGAGAAGGTTTTGCTGATGAAAGTCAATTTCCAAGAGACGATGCGTCTGCTCCTCCAGAACGCATTTCAGTATGACGACCCGGAACTCACCAGCGAGATGATTGCACTTTACCAGCAGTGCCCAGCCCTCTTCAATAAAGTACTGTCTCGAACGGACCGAAATGAGATGGATACCCTACTCGAAAACGAAGACCACGAGATGGAAGTCGACCAGTCTGCCGACAGAAATCATCTCAAACCGTCGGCGATCAATCGTATCCCAATAAAAAGTGTTGTCGCAACCCATTCAGTTAATGATGGCAACAGAATTCCGACTTGTTCCGGGGACCTCAACACAACATCGACTTGGCGTTGTCATCTCCGACTGGCATACCAATACGATTACGGCAAACCTGCACAATATCCATCTCCGTTCGAGAACCGGCCAATCCAGTGGTCTCGGAAGTTCGGATTCACCGACAGGTACCTACCAGATCACTAGATCCATACCCCAAGTCCCCATTCCTCCAACCCCTCTTCCATCATCAGGGCACGTGAGCCTGGCTTCTCGTCGGATTCCCCCAAACGGCCGGCTTGTTTATAAGCACAGGGCGGCGAACCAGCAACAAGAGGGATCACCAAGGCCCTTGGCAAAGCCCAAAACAAGAGTCTACGGATAGTGACAGGAGCCTTCAAGTCCACTCCCATTCGAAACCTCGAAACAGAGACATGGGTGCCGCCACTCGACCTGTACTTGAACAAGCGGCTGGCTGACTTTGAGGCCCGACTTCAAATGCCCACTCTAGATGACGGCCATGGCAGAAAGAAAAACGCAGGGAGCATTGTCCACGCGGCCTGCGGCAGGATATGCCGGAGACTCAACTCAAGAAAGGACAACAGGGGCCGACGGCGAGCCTTTGGGCCGCAGGAGCCCACAGCGGAGGGACTGCCGACACGGACAAGGTAACGGAGGACGCCTGGAGAGAGAGATGGCTCAAGAAACGAGACGGCCGGACGACAACGAGGCCGGCAGACAACCTTGACCACCAGCAGGAGACCCTGTTCCAGGACAAGACCCTACAGAGACACGACGGTTTCAGCAGAGCGAAAAGTTCACTGTTGGTCCAGATTCCCCTATTCAAGCGGAGAGTCCCGGAGGTTTTGACGCCTAACTGCGAGTGTGGAGAGGGGCGAGAGACTGTCGAACACCTGGTGATGTGGTGTTTGGCCCCACCGTTGACTCGAAGATGGGTGAGAGCCGAGGTTAGAACGCGAAGGGACTTTTATTCTGTCCTGCACGGAATCAGTCCCAAAGCTGCACGGCTAATGGGGAGGATCCTGGACTGGCTGATGGACTCGGGGAGATTACCGATGTACAATCTGGCCAGGAGGCTGGAGCTGGAACTCGTGGTCTGATATCCCTTTCCTTCGAAGGCCAAGAGGCCTTCTTACTTTGTATTTACAGGATCACACACTGATCGTTTCCTCAATTGTCGATATGGGTTTTTCACCCGGCCCACGAGGGCGCGGTTTTCCTGTATAGTAAGTTGTTGAAGGTCCGGCACGCCCTAGGACACAGCGGTGTAGGAATAATAATATTTAGGGCGGCCGCCAGGCCGCCCGGAAAGGAAAAATAAAAAGTGAAGTTTGAAACCACCACCAGCTATAAACACTATGAAAGCTCGGTAAGGGACGAAGATACCGCCTCGGATAGGCGCATGGCTACTGTTGTTGGACTGAACTGGCCCCTTGGCACCTGGATTCAGGGGCTGGGCACTGTTGCCCAATTCAGTAAGCGTAAAAGACTCGTCACCCACCCAAAACCAGGGTCTGGCGAGGGTCCCGAAGCCCTCAGTTCTTCAAGCAACACACACACATGACACACTGTTCAGACAGCCAATCCAAGCTTCATCTTGTGCCTCAATTGAGTATCACCTGGTTGGTCAATGCCTATTCGAGCCTGTAACTGTTGCTGTCCAACAACTGTATTTGGTCGTGCATCTCTGTGGTTGCGGAGATATCCACGATGGCATTTTTTTTTCGGGAGGCCTTCCAGGGCGGGCAGACGGCCACTGGATATCATCACGCATTGACTGTGTCTCACTACCGAATCGGTACATATTCCTATTAACGGTGTCCCCGGTGATACCTTGTAATTTCTTAGTTCGACATCCGTCTCAAAATACCGACACCTCCCAACTCACGGCCCGGCAGCGCCCATACCTGGGTGTCCAGGACGCCGAACAACCTAATCGAAGCCTCTTCGCAGAACACTGTCATCAAAATCCAAATTGCCCAGCATCAAAATAGCTCTCCAACAGAGATTCTAAGGGTTGTCGATATACTTGCGAAAGGGATGTCGAAGATCATGCACAAGATGGCGCTGATGCAAGCGGAGCTCTGGGGCTTATGGGCAGCGAATGAGGCGCTAAGCAAGCGGCGGAGGGCCAACAATAACGGCTACGATAAGGAGGACGCTTACTGTACAAGATGGACAGGATTTGCAATCCCACAGAGATGTTGAGGTGCAGATAATGGAGGAAACGCAGGCGGGTAGTGGTCGAAGCCGGGAACCGAGAAACGCACACGACGTTGTGGCAAATGTACGAGCCTGGTCATAATGCACGCACCTGTTAAGGAGTTGCAAAAATGCTTGAGGAAGATGCGTTTGAGTAGTTTTCATGATTTGAGTCCGTTTCGGTAGAATTATCTTGGATGTTGTTGTGGAGGTACGTTTATTCTGACATACGCTTGTCTGTGTGTGACGAATCTCAAAGCCCCTACTTCTGAAAGGGACTCCTGAAGGTTATAGCTTTGACAACGGGGTGAGGTTCGGTGAAGCCAAAGGGTTCACAACAAGCAATGTCCAAAGGTACTGACAATCTTGCACTTAAGTTGCTTACTGGAGAACTCCCAGAGTCCTCCAGAACGAGTGACTATATACTTGGTAGTGTCACGGGCGGGACAGGCTGATAGTCCAATGGCAGTTGTATTCGTGCTAAGCTACAATCTGGGCTCTATTCCGTCAGGTACGGGCAGGCTTGATTGTCAAGACGTAGCTCGAGGAGCTACGAACAGATCTCGCGGCAGCGAGGTGCAGAATCTTCAACCCACAGGGGCCCGTGCTTTCCACATGCCGGGTTCCACCCATGGGTCCTGGCAGGCACGGCGCAATCGCCGTGACAGGTAGAGCCTTCATGATCGCCCATGATCGCAGCCTACCAAGAGCTATCCTTGATCGCCTTGGGTAGCCAGCTACCCAAGTCTACCCTTGATCGCCCGGCCCCCACGGCTACCGTGTGGGCCTCGTGCGGTTCCTGCAGTTCTGCCTTGTGCCCCACTGGGCCTGTACATATGGTTGGTTCGTGACACTGTGACATTCGCTTATCATAACTTCTGATACTGAAAAATTTGAGACCTAAAATTGTGACCAGGTCACTAACTTACTGCTTTGAGGGCAATAAGCACAATCGGTCTTGGTTCCAGCGAAAAGATCTTTTGAGGGCTTGGGACGTGGCGAGGACTGCTGTCCTTAAGCTCTTTGATTATCATCGCAATATCTGTGTTCTAAACACATTGGATACAATTCCAGTTCGTCAGATCCCTCTCCTAAATAAATCAAAGACCTTATGAAAAATGCATCGCTTTCCCCTACCTCTAGCATTTGTTCCGTCCTAAATCGTTCTACGCCGCCCCTATATAGCCCAAGCGTCCTGGCAGGCCATGACAAAGAGTGGCAACAACGATACACACCATAATGACGCCGATACCATCCGTGATGGCGCCCTCGCCTGCACCGACGAGGCCGAGCACGCAAAGTAATGCGATGATAAAGGCTAATGTAATTTCAACCTTGTGTCTGAACAAGGTAAACAACTTAGTTCTCTGTAGGAAGAATCCACTCAACGCAGGCGGCAACGTACCGGATAAGATAGTTCGCGTAGCAGAGGAAGAGCACTCCACTGTTGACCATCCAGAAGACCAGAACTCTGGATTGTTGCTGATGTGTCAAATACAACCTCCATTGAGAGCATCAGATGAGGAAGGGAAGAAGCTTCAAGTTGGTGCCCGAGTAAGAATTCCTCGACTTGTATGCTAAGAGAAGAGAGAACAAGAGAAGAGCTTACACTAGACGTGCGATCCTGAAGTGGCCTTGCTCGTCTCCTGGTCCCTGGGCCGAAAGGAAGATGTACGCCATGATGATACAGATGTAGACAATGAAAGCAGCCTTGGAGAGTGCCCGGCGGAACGTTGTATTGGTCTCTAATTCAATGGAATCCTGGACGTGAGGCATTTCAAGATGTTCAAGGGGCTGGGTGCCGTTGTCGTTGTTGTCGTCGGAAGGTTCCGAGTTCCTCTGAGTCGATGTCATTGCCGATTGAGTTACAGAGCAGTAGTCGAGGTGACGGTACGGAGTGAATCAAATAAAATCCAGACTCGAGAGGTGTAACTAAGAGTGGAACAATGTGCGGAATAACAACAACGAGTTCTCAAGTTGAGTTATCAGATCGAGAAGTTGAGGAGCGACGAGCAAGAAAGCATCCGGAAGCAGGTGAGATGAACTGAGGATAAGGTTATGGCAAATGGAACTGGGACAACTGCCATCCTTTTATCACTTTATTGATATTTGCACAGCCAGGAGAAGAAGCTCGACCCGAACAAACACCGGACATTTCACCCCTGCCATGTTGGCGGCGTTGTACATGGATGGATGGATGCAAAACAGAAATCATACCATCCGTACGTTCTGTACGTTGCTTTTGGCCGCCTCCACGCACAGCTCGGCCGGCCGTCCTAGCGAATCGAAGATTTGAACACGAGAGAAGACCCACTTTAATGGTTACGGCACAGTGCGGCTACTCAAAGTGACCCCTCCATGCATCCCACCTGCCTTCTCTCGTTGAGCAGGGGTGCAAAAACGTAACTTTAAGCATCGGCGGGAGCCGCTGCTGATGCTCCAGCCAGCCTCCACCTAGGCAACAAAAAAAGGCATTATGCAAACCGGTTTCTCAGTGGTATGGGACAATGGGTGTGCGACGAATTGATTGACAGACTACCCTAGGAGACCATGAAGTTGATGCGCCGCGTGGGGTCATCAACGCCTGAAAGATCCTGATCCTGCAGCGCTACAGAGAGTTCGAATGCTGGAAAATACGGGTCAGCAAACATCGACAAGCTGGATCAGCAGCGGGCAAAAATCAAACAACCAGTACGAAGAAACACTTTAGCACCTAGAAAGCGAGGTGAAACAGCAAACGGCGGAGGGTTAATAGCAGCAGGATAATCTGGATCAGGAGAGTGCAGAAGTTCAAGAACTGCAGAGTGAGTTGGAACAGCGGAGGGCAGAACTTCAACAGCGGCAGAACAAGCTGGAGCAAGGTCTGGCAGAACTTCAGCGACAACAAAATGAGCTCGAAAACAGAGGGCATCAGCCCCAGCCCCCATCGAGAGCCTCACCGAACTCAGGGCAGTTGGCAATTTCAGGCTCCGCCTGACAGCGGAGCTTCAACGACGAGGGGAACGACAGCCAAGCGGACCGGATACCTCCAGGAGGATAGATTGGCGAACGAGCAGGACGACTGGGGATAACAGGAGTGTGAGTAGGGGCGCCTATGGGGAGGAGCATCTTGTAATTAATCAACTTTGTCTTGCTTTCTCTAGTAGCAACGTTAGCTAACTATGTCCGCTACGACAAATCTTCGGTCTGTTCCCCCGGGCTACAGACATCTTCCAACGTTCCAGCACATCGCCTCCGCCCGTTTTTGAGCGCTTAATATCCCAGTCCCTCAGCACGGCGGCCACAACTCTCCTATCGAAACCCTCTGAGTTCCTCACACGGCTCGCAACATCCAGGAGCTCACTACCCTCCAGCAAGCCAGCATAGGCGACGAGGCGCGCTAGTTCCTTGTATAAGAGCGTCATGTGCTTGTGGACGTGTAGCAACACCGAAACGGCAACGGTCAGTATTAAACCCAAGACCGCGACGATAGTCCCTGCCACCCAGGGAGCGACAACCTGGCGCGCCAACTCCATCTCCAATGTCGCCGTGGCAAATCCGCGACGGCCGCCTTCTCGGAAAACTAGCCCGACCGTTGCTATGGCAGTCAAGTAAATCGAAGTAAACACGTCCAAGATGGACTCGTCCAGAACTATTACCGTTAACAACATCAACAATTCGCTATGCGCCCAGCGATTTTACCTTCGACTTCAACGGCAACACCCACCGCGGCCAGCCGGAGCGCCATTTTACCGTGGCTTACGCCATTCGAAGCCGTTGACCCGCGACGAAAAGCTCGAATTCGGACCCTCTGTAAGTTCAATGGGTGGGATTACTTCCAATAGCCAGAGCCACCGGCAAGACCTTCCACCAATTATTATTATTATTATTATCCCTACACCGCTGTGCCCTAGGGCGTGCCGGACCTTCAACAACTTACTATACAGGAAAACCGCGCCCTCGTGGGCTGGGTGAAAAACCCATATCGACACTCAAGGGAACGACCAGTGTGCGATCCTGCAAATACAAAGTGGGAAGGCCTCTTGGCCTTCGAAGGAAAGGGTATCAGACTGCGAGCTCCAGCTCCAGCCTCCAGGCCAGACCGTACATCGGCAGTTTCCCCGAATCCATCAGCCAGTCCAGGATCCTCCCCGTTAGCCGTGCAGCTTTGGGACTGATTCCCTGTAGGACAGAATAAAAGTCCCTTCACGTTCTGACCTCGGCTCTCTCCCATCTTCGAGTCAACGGTGGGGCCAAGCACCACATCACAAGGTGTTCGACAGCTCTCGCCCCTCTCCACACTCGCATATAGGCGTCAGTACCTCTGGGACTCTCCTTTCGAATAAGAAAGCCCGAAGGCCTATGGCCCCGGTTCGAATCTGGATCAACAGTGAACTCTTCGCTCTGCTGAGGCCGTCGTGTCTCCTTAGGGTTTTGTCTTGGAACAGAGTCTCGTGCCGGTGGTCAAGGTCATCTGCGGGCCTCGTTGCTGTTCGCGACATATAAGGTTGTAATGATTTGATACGGATAGTTGCGCCCAGTCCGCAGTTGTCAACTAGACCAGCTTCTTAGTCGATTTGAAGCACCTCTTTTACCAATCAAAGTAAATGCGAAACTTGCCTGATAACGCATAGTTAACTATCCCAATACAAAAACTGACATGAATTAGCCTTCTTCAATTCCACCATATCATATGTATTTCCCAAACCGGGGATTCCATCCCCTAATTACAGGACACTCCTCCCTACCCTAGAAATCCTCGAACGCTTTCTCTCTACCACCCAACACCCAGTGCCCTCATACAGACCCTAGGAAATCCGTCCCTGTCGATTACAACCCTTTCTAAACCATCCTCTGGTCCCTCCTATTCCTGATCCTACAGGTCCATGGGCAGCAAAACTGTCTCTAGGGTTACCTATGTCATTGAAACCCTCTCCGCCATTACCTTCTTCCTCGGCATTCTGAATTCTCCTAGCTTGTGTTCTTTCAACTCCTTCCGCCTACCATTGTCCGATGCACCTCCCTAACGTCCCCTTCCAAGAAAGGCCTCCTTAAGCCCAACCTGATCCGCGGCAATCTCTCCATGCGATCGACCCCCTGTGAAGGAATACGCAACACCGTCTCGCGATAAAGTGTGCCTGTGGTGACATCGAACGAGCACGCGATGGCCCGTTTCATGCCGCCCTCACTGCCTCCCGCGACCAGCACCGTCGGCGGCCGCACCGCGTAAAAGAGCGTCACAGTAAGGTTGAAGGTGTCGACCAGCGTGAAGACCTTCATCTGACCCATAGCGCTCCTTGTGCTGGCATTGTGACAAGAGGCGACGGTCGGGTGGTAGTGGCAGTATTGGCCACCGTTGATGGGGGCGCATGCGGCGCAGGGGCTGGTGGGGTCGACTGTTTCCACTGGGTAGGTGTCGATTGCGGATACAGTGTCCACTGCACCAACGTTGTTGGTGTCATGATACCTGTAACGCACGACGCGCTCGTGCTTTGCCTTGCCTTCTCTGTGCTGTGAGAGCGGCGAGCCATACTCGCTCCAGCGCAGACGCGGACCGTCCCTTCCGGATATGCCGAAGAGCTTCTCCTCGATTGCTTCGAGGGGCACATAGCCTTCGATGCCGAAGAAACAAGGCTCGACCTCCCACAGCTTGCCGGCATGAAGGCGCTGGAGAAAGTATGGAGCCGGGAGAATGAATAGCAGCAGAGTAATGATCGTGATGGCGAGTCCTGCAGCGTACGCATCTCTTTGAATCGTAGGGCCGAAACTTCCCAAGGAGTGAGAGCCGTAGGCGCCGCCGTAGCGCGCAGGGGGATTCGGTGCGCTCACGGCGGCAATTATGACGCCGATGAAAAACAAAAGGGGCGACCAAGCCAAGAACCTCAAGAATGCTTTGCGTTTTGTCGTAAGCCGCCGGAGTGTACGCACTGAAGTGAAGCCGGACCACTGGATCTGCGCGCCCTTAGCGCCGTCCACAATGACCGTGTCATTCTCGCCGACGCCGCAAACCTGCGTATCCGGGTATATGTCCCAAAGGCTAGCTTTGAATTGGTCTGTCATCAGCTCCCAGTTCTGGTCGGGCGTGTCCGGAAGAAGGCATATCAGGCGCTCCATGAGACGATCGCTGTCTTGTGGGAGGGACAAGCGCGCAAAGGCTTGAAAAGCCGAGTCGGTCTTGTCGATAGGCGGGCGAATCCGAAGCAAGCCCATCAGCACGTAGACTCTGTCGCCGGGGTGTAATGACCTAAACCTACGGCTCATCAAACACTCCAACGCAATCTTCACGAGTTCTAGTCGGCCGAGGTGCAGGTTGGTATAGTGTTCAATGAGCTGACGCGACGTCAAGGAGTCCTCCCAAGCGCACGATGGGAACAACGACTTGGAAACTTCGTGTACCTCGTAGGACGGCGAGGGTTTTTCTCTGGCTCCGCAGTGCCAAACGGTGACCGAGTCGCCTTTGCTCAAGACAATCTCGGGCAGCGTCCAAACGCGGTGGCCCCACACGTAGAGTGCCCTGTTGTCCCAAGGGCGGCTTCTGTTGCCCGCGACAACAATAACATGCTTGGCGGCTCGAATGATGTCGCTGATGCTGTAGGTCTGAGTATAGGTTATAGAGGTTAGCTACCGCCAGGCAACCCGTCCTTGGTAACGGATGATAGGTAAAGGAGCCGACCTACGTCCTCATTCGCAAGCATTTCCCTCTCAAACCCTTCTACGCGCCGCAAATTTCCGGTCTTATCAACGGCCACATCAGGTGGCATGCAATTTGCTGCGATCCAGAATGCTCTCGGAGTCTTCCGCAGGTCAGAAGGCATTGGACTGAAGTGTCTGACAGCAGCTGCAGTAGCAACAGCAAGAAGAGCCTCAAGGTCCCCGGAGTCGCCACCTTGCTCGTCCTCAGTCTCGTCGGGAATGTGATAATGCGCTGATGAGTAGCAGACCATCACGAAAGGGGTCAAATCATCCGCGCGAACCGGGTGTCGTTCAAACTCATATACCCTCCGCCCATCCCGTACGGTCTCAACCAAGTAGTTCAAGAACCGTGGACGGAAGGTCCGGTAAGAGGAGCGGGCTGCCGATATGTTCCCGGATCCAGTGATATATAGACTGCGAGCCACTACCTCTCGGTTTTCGAGGATGTTCCGTGCCAGGCGAGGGTATCTGAGGCCCCTATACATCACGGGAAGGTACTTTGTTTGATCCTTTTCCGTAGGCGGAGAGTGATCCCGTATCATCCACTGGGCTGGTCAACGCATGAAACGATGAAGGAACTGAAATACAGGAAGGAAGGGCAAATAACCAGGTCACTTACAGACATGAAGAAGATAACAAGCGTAGGGATCCACAGGCCAATCACAATTAGCCAGTCCTCTGGACGGTACTTGCGTCTGTCACCCCTCCGCTCGGCAGGGATGAAACGAAACGGGAGGTTTGCAATGCGCAACGAGATAGGAGTGACATTGCGAATCGGTGTCCGTTTCCACGTCGCATTTGGGCGGTTGACAGAAGATAGGCAAATGGACTTGGGAGCCTGCACATAGAGGGTCTCAATCTTGCCGGTGAAAGGGTGAATGAAGCAATCGAATGGCTTGTCGAAGCTCTTCTCGCGGCCTAGCCCATCGATGACGGTGAATGGGGCAGGTCCTGGTACGTACTCGAGATTTGGGCGGAAGTAGAGGTGTGGATTCGAGAACCACCGCCAGCTGTAACCACCGGTGAAGAAGAATGTCCACCAACTCGACACGTCCTCGTACGGGTTGGGGTGGTCAGCGCCGTCCCCGGTAGATAGTGAGATAGCCATGGGAAACTAGTGACGGCAGGTCAACGGGTACCTGCCGAATCAATGAGCGCCGGTTGAGGCTGCTGGGTCGGATGGTCCTGGGTAGGGGGTTGCTGTCCTTCCGCAGTTTGTGAGCCTTATCATCAAGTTAGCATACCTTCGCCGTGTTGGAGATTGCCAATATCATCTTTACTGTTGCTGAGCGTCGCAACCGCAGGCGTGCTGTCCTCGCAAGGGAAGAGGTCGTCAAGCTCGTCCAGGTACTTCCGGATTCGATCTTGATCGGGATTCTTGCTTCCGCCGTGAAATCCAGCCTTGGACTGGCCTTCACCTGATGACATGCCGATGAGACAAAAAGACGACCTGAGTAGTTAAGATCACCAGGCTGATCGAAGTGTGGTACGGTGAAAGGAGCGATTTTATAGCCGAGTGTTATGCTCGAGTAGTTGCGATAGCGGACAGAGATCAGCTGGACCGCAGAGATTTATCATTTTTCGCACCTCTTCACAAACTCGCCAGCCAAGACAAGGCTGTGTCTCCGAACACAGCTGAACAACACGGTTGTGGTTGCACTGATTAAATTAGCTGCTGCAGCCAGGACCAAGCCATCTTTTGCAGTTTGCTGCCTTTCTTATTCATCTCGTAGTTTTACTGATGTATTTGTGGACTGGCCGCCGACAACTGGAGGCTCCTGTGACGAGTGGCAAGGGATAGTGAGGCAGCCACTTGCAGACTTGGGACAAGCCGCCTGCAGTTTGCTGCCTTGTTCGCTCGTTCGTAATTTTGACTGGTTGGCATTCTCTCGCGGAGGCTTTTGCAGGGCGGCAGCTCATGCAGTTTCGGCGTTTAGCAGCCCTCTGCCCAGAAAGAGCCTCATCGTTAAACGCCCTGCGGTCTGGGATCCTCTCGTGTTTTGTCAGTCCGAATTCCAGACTCTCTGGAACAAAAACCCTTCAACCCCATGCTATTTCTGGGTTTCATTCTTCATATCCCTGCAGACAGGTCGCTCCAGCTGAAGGATGCAGCGATTCGCCGCACATCATTCAAGCCAACCTCGGCGGCAAGAGCCCAAGTTCCAGAGGATTTGGCGGCAATCCGGTGCGCCAGAATTCCGCCTACCACCTCACCAGACACCCTGGCGGATCACTAACCATGGATGGTACAGGGGAGCTCCGGGCAAGGCGGGCAGCATACACCGCGGCAACTGAGTTGACACCATGGAGTGGGCGAGACCTCGATATCATGTCAGTTTTGGTACTTCATTGTCAACCGCTAACTATAACGAGAAGGCGATGACAATGAGATATTGCAAACTGGCTGACAGAACAATGGGTGCAGAATCGCTCCGTTGGACGGTAAATTTCGAGGGGGCGAGAACGAGTATCAGAGGCTTATCGAGTTGTACAATCTACCAAATGAGTTCGTGTGGGAGCGCGAGCGGGGAGTGACGCACTCTTTCGGACATCAGCTTGGCGAGGACGGCCTTGAGAGTGAGTCGTGCCCATCCACACTTCCCGCCGAAAACGAATCGCCAACATCTCACGTCCGAGTCAGCTCTCTGGATGCACTTCCTTGCCGAAATTCCAGGAAGCAACACACCCGACAGACAGCCAGAATGGCTGAAATGGGGATTTGTTCTGACATGGCTTCCCAAAGTCGCTACGAGCTCTGCAGCCGTTCAGGATTCGGCATACACAGTCAGCCTGATCGTCTTCCAGCCGCCAGTTGAGACTATGGATCACCTTGTTCGTCTCGTACGGTCTTCCAACTGGATGGATGCTACCGTCGACCCTTACGTGCTGGTTGATATTGCCTTGGTGTCTTGGTATCATCGCATCGACAAGGTCGCCTGGCAAGTGACCAAACTCATCCGCACCGATGAGGAGGACGTCTTCCGCCGCGTACAGCTGCTCCGATCCAAAGAGTTCTCCGTCGCCGACCTTGATCTCCATCGGCTTCACACGAGCTTAAAGAATGCCATCTTTATGCTCGAAGGATTGGACGCTGCCATCAGGCTCGTGGAGCTGGCGCTGTTGGAGCATGAGTCGCCACGTCGAAGGAGGGGACAGGTGTGGGAGAACACCCACCGTCTCTTGCGGCATCGAGGAGAGCTGTTTCAGTCAACAAAACTGAGGACCGTCAGTTCGCAGGCAAGAGTCAAGAACTCGATAGATCTCGTAGGCGCACTCACGTGTTTCCCCACAGCAGCCTCTCCCCTGAACGCCGAGCACTAATACAACCAGGCCTTCCACATCAACACTGCATACGACAGCCGAGTTAACCTCGACAACAGCCGCAGTGTACGCCTTATATCTATCGTTGGCATGGTTTTCATCCCCTTCAGCGCTATCACCTCCATATTCGGGACCCAATTCTTTACTCCTGAGGCTCAGCACATGAATGTCAACCCTGACTTCTGGGTGTTATGGGTCATCGCGATTCCAATGACCATAACAATTCTCGCTGTCTGGCAGGTCAGCGAGCACGATAGTCTGAAGTTCTGGCGCCCGGATCTTGCCAGCCCGGCTTTAGCACGCTGGTGGATAACATCCGGGAGCATTGGTCAGAGGGTCACTGAGAGCGTAACTCTGGAGGATGCGACTGAACTGCGGGATCTTCGGCAGCCGCCGCAGACTGTTTAAACTGAAGCTGTCTATCTATTAGAAGTGTTGGCACTTGAAACTTGGAAACTGGGTTGCCGGTGCCTTACCATGGTCAGGGGTAACACACAGCTGTTGCTTCACGTCTGTCTGGGAATCCACCCAGGCAACTTGGAGAAGGAGGATTAAGAAGAGAACTTTCAATTGACAGATTCTAGGCGGCTCTCGGGCACTCGGAAAAATTCACTTTTTTTTTCCTTAAAGAAAAAAAATATATCACAGCTCGCAACAGGCTTTGATTTGAACATTGCATGATTGGGAGACGAGAAAGTCGTGGCCTTCCCTCGGGCCGAGTCCGGAGGAACCTGAGTGGCTGGAGACCGAACCGGCTGCAGCGATCGTACGGATCGCACCACGCTCCCCCCCTTATTGCATCCAACAACGGCTGGTCAAAAGAAGAGCCATTCACCTCGCCTTCATCAACCCCACACATTTTTCCCTAGCAATGGCCCAAGAGGCTCCCGAAGCGCAGACGGAGGATAAGACGGACCCCCATGGCGTCTCCCACCATCATCTTGGTGGTCTGCCATCCGAGTTGTTCGACGAGATCTTGTTCGAGATCAACTCCATCCGCGATCTCGCCCACTTCATTGCCACGGCTCGCTTCGTGTACCAACGCTTCAGGGTTCAAAGGCGGGCCGTCCTTTTCCGGGTCCTGCAAAACGAGCTGGGCCCCGTGCTAGCTCACGCCAGGTTCCTCTTTGTGTTCCCTTATCCGGGACCCACAGACCAGGTCCGGTACATCCAATGGCTACGCCTCATGGCCTCGAAGTATACCACGGTATACTTCAAGGCGACAACACCGAGGATAGCATTCCAATCCAAGGCGATGCCCTCCCCCACCTCGAGGAGCTAAGGGCGCTTTGCCGCACCCTCCACCAGATTAATCTCATCGCCGACATGTATGTCACAGCACGGCTCGCGTCGTTCGACCTCGGCGGCGGAAGCGGAACGCCCGCCACGGCGCCGCTCCCGCCCTTGGAGCGGCGACGGGTCGTGCGCAGCTTCTACCGCCGTCAGATCCTGAGCAACGCCTGGGCCGCAACCAGGCGCCCCAAGCACTGGACCCCCGAGGACACGGCCGCTAGCAGCAACTCGAGCACGCATCAAGCCGAGGAGTTGGGTCTGTTCGGCACGCTTGAGCCCTGGGAGATGCAGCAAATCGACACGCCGACGTCTTTATCACGCGCCTGTGTCTCGCGCTCGTGCATCACTCTCCGCGGACGGCCGACGAAGCCCCAAGGATCCCACCCCGCCAGTTCGACAAGCTATTTGCGCACCTGCACCGCCTCATCCACTACCTGCAAACACATCGCTGCGTCGCCGAGCGGGCCGCTCGTGATCTGGCAGCGGCCGTGGAACTCGCGCACTGCGCACGGCTGCGCGACGAGTACGTGAACCCGTACCAGATGACCTCCTTGCGGCTCGCGTGGCAGGAGGCGGACCGGGCAGCCTCCTTCCCGGACCCGGTCACATACAAGTGGGACTGGGACGGGTTGGTTGTACCCTACGTCGGAGACGGGCTCAACCTCGCCCCATACGGCTGGATGGACGCGCTGGGGGGGAGCTGTATACCGGATGGGTTCTTAACCGCCTGATCGGGCGGGATGACTGATGAGGCGCCACAGGAAACTGATGGCTCCGGTTGCTGCTCTGAAATCCCTCTTGTACACCCTCAAAACCTTGGCCGATGGCCGCATCCTACTAAGCTTTGGTGACACGACCACATACATGCCAATGGGTGGGATTCTCATAGCCTGCAATACCCATCGGGCTTCTCTTCCCGGGTGTCACGACAAGATAGGCACACCATTTTGATTCTGTGGGCTATCAACTCTGTAACCTCAATCGCTACCGGCGTTGGCTTAGCGGTTCTGAAGAAGGGCAAAAGGGAAACAGAGGAATTGTCAGGCGGTGGCGACCACTGCAGACTGCCCACCTTTCTAATCGCCCAACCTGCAGCTCTCCGACCCACAATCAAACGAACAATACAACACCATCACCATCGTTGCCCCCGTGCATGTCCTCCGTAATGACAGGAACCGATACTAGCGGGCCGGGTCTATAGACAAATGATTCGCTTTATTCCCGTGGGCACTATCGATCCGGGCTGGCAGGGAGCTCCGTGCTGCCCGCGGCTCGCCCTGGCTCCCCCACTGGCTCCCATGACCACCTGAGAAGGGTGAGCCACCTTGTCTGGGACGGCACACACACAGGAGAACTGAAGATGTCAACTGTGGTGGTTGTCCTGTTTGTTGTTGGTTGTCTTCTGTAGAAGCTAAGCTAAGATGGTTGGAGGGGAAACCCAAGGGCAAGGTGGGCAGTTTGGAGGGCAAAGGAACCACATGGTCACGTAGTAACCCGCAACACCTCACTGGTATAGAGAAATGGAATCTGGTCTTTTGAAGCCCATACGTCCTCCATCTTATATATTCTCAATCATCTGCCGTTTCTCTGCGTAAACTCATAGGTCAGTAATATCATGAGTAAGCTAGCTCGAAGGCCTTGCTCCAAGTATTCAATGTCCTATCCTAGGTGGTTGAAGCGTGCTTACTCGGCGTAGCACGAGATAGGTGTCACGGCCCCCACCATGAGCCCTACACTTGGACAATTGGCGGGCGAGACACTGTGGATTCCATGGCGCAGCGACATGACTCGCAGCAGAGAGACGATATCTGGAGAGCAGGAGACTAAGATTGGAACTTGGAACTTCCCTCTCTCAAGGATCAGTCAGTTGGTTAGTGGTGCACGCACAATACAGTCGTCTTGCCTGCTGCCTGTTGAGGATTCGGTGCATCTTTCTTGGTGAGCTTGTGTGTGTTACAATTTCTGATCCTTCCACCCAAACACCAACCGAGATGTCGCCGATCCAGAGTCGAGTGGCTAGTGAGCCACCTGCAGAAGGCTCAGCCCCAGAGAACCCAGTGCGGTTACACCAGTCAGAGACGTCAAGTCAACGAACACCACCTTCAAGAACCTTATCACATCATGAACCACTTCAGCCTTACGATCCGGAGGCGTTGCTACAGGCCACCGAAGCCCGTGTTCAGAGCCTGGAACGGATCCGACAGTTGAGACAACAAGAGAAGGAAATTCTTCGGCAGTTGGGCCTCGATCCTGATGAAAGGCCAGCGAAACGACCTCGATCTTCTTCGTCTTCATCGGTAGGGGCCACAGCAAAGCCATCAAGGAGAAAAACCTCATCCAGTCCAGCGAACCCATGACGTTTCGTCGACGAAAAGAGTGGCTTCAGGACCTTCAACGCGCTTTTGTGGGTGACCGCAGCTGATTCAGCAACGACGCCAACAAGATACTCTTTGCCCTCGACAACATGGAGCAGCAACGAAATCGCTGGTACAGCCATTGCGGCAATTTGTCAAAAGACAAGCGAGACGAGGCCGAAAACGATTGGAATCACTTCGAGGAATGGACCAAGGAGTGCGTCAAGGACCTTGCCGACCAGATATCAACAGCGGCCAAGCAACTCAACAACGCTTGCCAAAAAGACGGCCAGTCACCCCTTGAGTTCCACCAATATCTTGAGTCTCTGGAGGATCAGTTTCCACGTAAGGACGACAAGCAACGAGCTCTCGACTTCTACTCCAAGCTTTCAACAGCGATTATCCATCTCTACGTTCCTAACCGACCTGAGGACCGTGAAGGAATGGTCAAAATCGCCACTCAAATTTGGCACAGTCTTCAGCATATGAAGAAAGGGAAACCCATTCTCAGACACCCAGCACTCGGGAGAGCATCGTCAACCTTTTCGAAGTCGAGGATGTCATTACCCCTCTTTCGGTCGTGGCAAACGCAGACATGACGACCCTCATGACGACACTCATGACGCACTAAATCTGTGGATATTGTCAAGAAGCATGACAGTCCAGACCATTCTCCACAGACAGGTCACATCTTGCGGTGCTACATCTGCAACAGTACCGAACACCTAGCGAATGTATGCCCAGATAAAGGCAAATCGGTATCCCAGTACCGCGGGTACAACCGGGGCGGGTACTGAGGACGCCGGGCGAGTCGACAGGGAAACGGCCGTTAACCGTGGGAGAGCCCCTTACCACGGATGAACTCCTTTCAGGGGCATTCGAAGAAGAGAGTCTTGTTGAAGAAAGACTCCACGCAGAAGCATCTCTCCTTACTCACTGTATTACCCCTATTCACGTTGACCTTGACAGTTGCGGAGAGACCAACGTTGTGAGCATTGATTTCGTGCGAAGGCACAAGCTCAAGTGGCTCAGTGCCGATTCGCCATTGATTCGCTTCATGGATCAGCGTTATGCGATCATTTACGGAGTCTTTGAAGTTCCATTGTCTCTTACTGATCACCAGGGGATTACGAAGGAAGCCAGAATCCCATGTGTTGCAGTGGAGCTGTTGAACTGAGTGGGTTCCTTGGCACCAAGATTCACGGACTGAGCACTGATGTGTTCAATGCGAGACTCTCAGTCAACACAGATCCATCACAATGACGCAGGTCCTGACATAAACGTCATATCATGGCACACTGTCTCTATATAAGGGGGTAATTCCCCTGGGAGGATTAGAGAAGATAATTTTGTTCCAAGAAGAAAAAAGGGACATTCTGAGGCACCCTAACCCACTATCTTGATCCTTCATTTGTGTGGTCACTCTGGAATCGTGACTCCAATTCAAGCTTCATTTCATACCTCAATCTATTCAATACCACTTGGTTGATCTAAGCTTACTCGAGCATGTAACTGTTGGCTGCCCAACAGTTATGAGCCCGGCTACGCTCTAGAACTCCCGGACCGACAATCCCGCAGCCAACACAAGCATTTTGGCATCACCGAAAGAGTGATAGAACCGATGAACGAACCCACGATGTCGCTACCGAACACGGACGAACGATTCAGCGTTCAGCTGACCTCGACCAAGGACTGGCGAGGATGGAACGACACGTTCATCATGAAGACGAGGAACCTCAACCTATGGAATCAGCACATCAAGCCGTCAAGCCAAAGGCTTCCTTGGCTGACAGCTCCGCAACTTCCACGGATGAGCGACTTCGAACGAATCCCACATGGCCGAATTCGGAACCCCAGACTCAACGATCAGAATGGGGAAGAAGACGAATCCGCGACCTTCGAAGGGAACCAGCGACGATCAGATACCAACCAGACAAGACACCACGAGGAGGAGGGCCGAGACAACGACGACGAATCGGATCAGTACTACGACCCCGAAGACGACATCATGCTGAGCAATCTCACAGAGACTGGCAAAGCCGATTACCACGCTGCGATGTCTCGATACAAGATCCAGAAAGACGCCTACCAGATCCAGGCCAAATCCGTCCTCACCCTCTCCAACTGGGTTTATGACACGGTGGCACCCCATCTTCGAAAGACGTGTTGTCGTCCACAGAAGACTCTCGTCGAGTGGTACGCAGCACTAACACGACAAGTCGGATCGACATCAGGCGAGGAAGACGAAGAAGCTCGCAACAAATACCGGCAAGCGGTCAAACCTCTCATTCGACATCCAAAGGAAATGCGCGCCTGGTTGACGGTATGGGAGGAAGCGTTCACCGAGGTGGTCGAGATGGATGTCCCAGACACATTCAAGGCGGTACACTGGTGGAGATACTTCACCAGATCCGTCAGCGGCATCGGGTACGAGGCTTGGTGCCAATCGTACCAGATCCAGAATCAACACCGCATTTCAGCAAATCGTCTCTCGTATCGAGAGGTGTCGAATGCATTCGCCTATATGCTGGCGGGTAAAACAACCGCAGCACCTCAGGCAAGAAAACCAGCAAGAGGCAGCTTCGCGACTTACGCAGACCTCTCAACCGACCAGAATGACGACGACGCTGAAACGGACGAAACGAGGGAACGTGCTCAGCGCCGCGCTCGTCGTCAGACTCCCCCAAAGAACACAACCAAGAGGAGGAGTTCAGACAGTTCAAGGAAGCGTTGCAAGGCATATGGTCAGGAGAGGCACTCCCTGTCCAAATGCTTCTATGTATTCCCTCACTTGGCTTTCGAAGGATTTAGGGTCAATCAGCGGACCAAGAGTGCTGTTGAGGAAGCTCTCAAAACCGACTCAAATCTCAAAGAAGAGGCCGAGCGGATCAAGAAGGAACCAAGGAAGGCCCATTTCGAGGAGAACAAGACGAAGGAGGAGGATACTGTCACAGAACAGTTAATTTGACAGTTGAGGTAGATCACCGAGATCAAGGGCAGTTTATTAGTTAGGGAATCGGCATTTGCAATCAACGACTACCCTCTCTACTATTCTGCCATTCTTGACTCAGGATCTACGATTCACATCTTCAACCAACGAAACCGCTTCCTCAATTTCAGAGAGGCAGAACCAGGGGATGCCATCTGGGCAGGAGACAACCAGTTGCCCATCTTGGGATATGGAACTGTCGACATACTTGTCAAGACCTCCCAGGGCACCAGACGATATTTCTTATTGCACGACGTTGCGTGGTGCAACCGATTGCAGTGCAACCTCGTCTCCTTTCGCGAACTCCTCACCAGGGGTTACTCCTGGGACACGGAACGCCAGCCAACCGCTGTCAAACGGCCAGACGGTACCGAGCTCTGTGTTGTGCCTGTCATCCAAGGCCAATTTGTTATGGAGTACCGAATACCGCGAAACAACAAGGCGATCTTCGCGGCGGTACCACTTAAGTCCTGGAAGCAACGTCTTTCACCACCAGCCACAGCCCTGAGATGGCATTTACGGCTCGGACATCCTGGACCTGACGCACTACGCCATCTTGTCAATGCGGCAGTGGGAGTACGCATGATCAATCTCCAAGGCACTCGACGCAAACGGAACCGACGAAAGAAGAGGTCCTCGTCACGAAGAGCTGTGCCAGCCCCTGCAGCTGCGTACTCCGCGGTTCAGACGGCTGGATCAGAAGAGGCACCTGGCGGCGATTGCGTGGGACCAAACCAAGATTGTCCTGCGGAGCTCACTGAGGTTCAAAAGGCGGCTCTAGATGCTGAGAAACAGCATGTCCCACCGTCGAAAACCCACTGCGATGCATGTGCCATGGCAAAGGCAACACGCAGCGAGTACCGCAAACCCCGGGACCTCAGCGCATATAAGCCAGGAGAAAGGATCGCCATCGACTTCCACGACTTCGAAAGAGACGCAGACGGTTTCAAGAGCATGACGCTCATCACATGCCGAGTCTCAGGATACATGTGGGACTACTGCAACGTCACAAGAATGAGCGATGACATCCTTTTCGCAATCACAACCTCTCCCGGGTCCTCAAACGACAATATAACGTTGACATCAAAGTCATCGAGTGCGACAACGAAGTGTACACTCATGAAATCCGCGCATGGTGTGATGCACAGGGCATCAAGCAAGAACCCTCGTCGCACAACACCCAGCAGCAAAACGGAGGCGCCGAGCGCTCGGGGGGTGTGGTGAAGAACACCATACGCGCAATGAACCTCCATGTGTCATTTCCGACTCAACTCTGGAAGCACATCGGCGAGACAGCAGTCTATCTCCTGAATCGCACGCCGCGCAGAAGGATTGGTTGGAAGACACCATACGAAGTGTTTCACGGTCGAAAGCCAGATCTCTCTCACCTTCGAGTGTTTGGAAGCAAGGCATTTGTCATGACCGCAGCTGCCCAAAAAGGCACCGGGAAGTTACAGCGGTTCAACCCACGAGCATGGCTCGGGTACCTGCTGGGATACACGTCAACGATCGTGTACAGAACTTGGAATCCAAAAGCTGACCCTCGCTACCAGATCATCCGAGCCCGAGACGTGATCTTCAATGAAGACGAGGTATTCACAGGGTCGATTGAGGACATACAGAGGGACGCTCTCCACATGAGCGTTGAAGAAATCCATCAATTACTGCAGACACTTGATCTCTCGCAGAGCAGGGGTGATGAACACCGCCAGCTGCCGCAAGAAAGTCTGACGATGTCAGAGACGCGGAGGATGGTTCGTCTGATGACGATTTTACAGGTGACTCCCGCCACGTAAGTGCAGACAGTCAAATGACCGATGAGCCCTGGCCAGGCACTACCATCGGGGAGCAGTTGTTTAACGGGGACGCCCGCATGGCAACGGAAGAAGCTTCCAACTGAAATGACCCCTGTGATGGACACAGGCGGAAACCCTTCCGGAAGTGGAGAGACGTCATCCGGGGCCGAGAAGGTCTATACGGAGGCAAGATTCGAACCCTTCCCTACGCCATCTCAATCGCCCCCTGCGGCAATGCTAGCGGCCGCAATGTTCGGCAGGAAGGATGAAAAGACACCCTTGAAGTCGTCCAGTTGGGCCAGTATTTGTTCGGAGCTCCATTCGTTCGCGCCACCTGCCTTCTTCATGACAATCGGTTCAAATGTATTACCCTACTGATGAACTCATCGCAATGGTAATTCAGCTTAGTACGAGAGGAACCGCTGATTCAGATAATTGTTTGTGGTGGCCAGACAAACCCTTTCATTATACTGACACGTGGCGGGCTTCCTTCCACGCGGGTACGGTGTCGGGGCAAGTCACATTGGCAAACAAAACCAATTCCACCAAGGTGGCAGTGAAACGCAAGATACGGAAGGCGAAACGTGTCCAGAAGGATATAGCCCCGTAAGCAAAGAAGCTCTCCTAGTAGGAGATTACTCAGAGAATTCGGGATAAGATTCCCATCAAACAGAGCGAATTACCGCCTCCCCCAGAACGTCATGAAGACTTGGCTGACCATGTCATGGGAAATCTCTTCCTGCAGGCCGAATTCGAACACCTTCAAAGTCACAAGGAGATGGACTCGTGGACCGTGATCAACGACAGAGGTCCGGGAGGCCGTAAGACGAAAGTCCTCGACTGTCGTTGGGTCTACGTGTACAAGTTCAACAGGAAGGGCGAGTTCCTGAAGACGAAAGCGAGAGTGGTGGTTCGAGGAGACGAACAGCCGAAGGGCTTCGAAGAAAGCAATTACGCTGCCACGCTCGCAGCACGATCATTCCGCACGCTCATCGCCATTGCCGCAGGGGAGGTCCTCATGCGCATGCCGCCAGGACACCGCGAGGTTGGAAAACTCCTCCGCTTGAACAAGGCACTTTGTGGTCTTCGTCAATCACCGCTGCTCTGGCAGAGGGAGCTCTCGTCAACGGTGCAAAGCCTTGGTTTCGAGGTCGTGCCGCACGAACCCTGCTGCTTCACCAGGAACGGCGTCATCATCTTCTTTTACGTCGACGACATTGTCTTCGCGTACCACAAGTCACAACAAAAGGAGGCCGAAGCAGCGATGAAGCAGCTTCGAGCCAAGTACAAACTGACGGGTGGAGGACCACTTGAATGGTTCCTAGGAATCGAGATCCTCCGCGACCAAAAGAGACGCCTGATCTGGCTCTCGCAGTCGTCGTACATCGACAAGATCGCCAACCTCGTGTCCAAGGAGACAACAGTTAAGGCTCCAAGGACCCCAATGGGCAAAGAAGAACTCTGTCCTACGAAGGAGTGGCCAAGAAGGGCATGATTGTCATCTACCAGCGCAAAGTCGGCTCCATCCTTTACGCCGCAGTCATCACACGCCCAGACGTCGCCTTTGCTGTATCACGGCTCGCTCGGTTCCTCACAAACCCAGGACCAATTCGCCACACAGTCGCCGACCGCGTTCTCCTCTACTTGAAACGCACCAGCCATCTAGCACTCCAATTTGGAGGAGAAGACGACATGCGCACGGCGAGCGATCCATCATTTGCCGACAACAGCCTCGACCGCAGAAGCTCACAAGAACACGATGAAACTGTTTGGCGGTCTCATCGGCTGGCGTGCAAACAAACAAGACACGGTCACCACATCAACGACCGAAGCTGAGCGTAGTATTGCCTGTCACCACCCGTGATACCTGCCAAATCCAACACGTTCTCCCTCCCCCCCTCCCCCTAGAACCGTACACCCGGAACTCTACCCCTGGGCAACCGAACCCACCCCAGGCGCCAAGAGATGCCTGTTTGGGAGAAGCGCGTACGTGGAAGGCCTGTTTGGTGGGGTTTAGTGGGTCCGGGAGGCAGAACTCTACATGGGTGCAGCCAATGGCAAAAAGGAACCGTAGGGGCTGGTTAAGTGGGGCACATAATGGAACTGCACCCAATTCCGAGCGATGATGCTTCTAGTAGGGGTTATAGGTCCTGCCTTGAATTGTAGGGCGCATCTAGGTGCAAGTTATTGTTTTGAAGTTGTGTAATCACTGCGGATTATAGGTAATTACATAGCAAAATGGACCTACGATAAGTTCTGCTTATCAAACACGTTACAGCAGTTCTCCGTAGGGGATGGGCTGCTTGGGCGTCATAACACCCCCTTTTTCATATGCCTCACCACCCAGTCTTATGACTCCTACTCATCCTTGATCTTGAGCACGGCCTTGCCAAAGTTCTTGCCCTCCAGCATGCCAACCAGCCCGTCAATAGCATTGTCCATGCCGTCCGTGACGCTCAGCTTGGCCTTGACGCTGCCCTCAGCCAGCCACTGCGACAATCTCTCCTGGTGGTCCTTCCCGTACTTGTCCGCGAAGTCGGAAACGATGAAGCCACGCATTGTCAGCCGCTTGGACGCGACGTGGAACAGGTTCTTGACGCCATAACGATCCTGCTCGGAAAGATTGTACTGCGAGATCTGCCGGCTGTTAGTTACCAGCCACCATCCGTAAAACGACTTCCAGTTTAAACTCACCATGCCGCAGACCACAATCCTGCCCCAGTTGTTCATCGCGTCCAGCGCCGCCTCCAGCTGCTCCCCGCCGACGTTCTCATAATAGATATCCAGGCCCTCAGGCGCCAGCCTCTTGAGCGCATCCCTGGGTTTCTCCTTCTTATAGTTGAACCCGCTATCGAACCCCAGTTCATTGATGATAAACTCCAACTTGTCATCGCTCCCCACACTCCCAATGACCTTCAGCCCCTGCCGCTTCGCAATCTGCCCCGCCACCTGCCCAACAGCACCAGCCGCGCTGCTGATGAAGATCGTCTCGCCCTTCTTGAGCTGGCCAATCTCATACAGCGCGCTCCACGCCGTGAGACCGGTCATCCCTAGCGGACCGATAAACAGCCCCAAGTCCTTCAGCCCGTACTTATTGTCCACCTTGCGAGAAATCATCTTGACGCCCTCCCGATCAAGCACGGTATACTCGCCGATTGGCAGCATCCCAACCAGCAGATCGCCGGGCTGGTACGCGTCCGTGTCGGACTTGATGACGCACGCCACGCAGTGGCTGGTCACGGGCCCGTTGAGCTCGAACGCCGGGACGTAGGACTCGACGTGCGCTGGGCGCATGCGCCCCCGCATGTAGGGGTCGAAGGAGGCGTAGAGGATGGAGAGGGTGAGGCCGCCCTGCGGGGGAGCGGCCTCGGGGTCGAAGCCGCGGTCTTCGAGGACCAGGTGCTCGCCTGGGACCGGGGCGGCGGTGGGGATCTCTTTGAAGATGAGTGTCTTGTTCTGGACGGGAGCCATTGCGGGGTTGGTTGCGAGGGTGAGTGTGGTGGTGTTGTGGGAAAGCCGTGAATGGAGTTGGTGTTTTGAGTCTGGGCTGGGCGCACGAGAAGCTGAAGATGTCTGGAAGGTAAAGGGTCTAGTATTGTCGTAGAACTGACGGCTCCGGGGCTTTAATAGGTAACGGAGTATCCGTAGGAGGAGGCACCTGGTGGAGGGCTATCTCAGTGCTCAGACTCCTCTCCAGGCGTCTTCCTGCCGAAGCCGGGAAGGAGCGTAACTATCCCCAGGCCGGCAAACAGTGTAGGGCCGAATTCGAACAGATCAATGCCTCAATAAGGCTCGCTCAGCGAGCCGTACGGCAGCACTGAGATAAGTGGAGGCGAATAATAGACAACTCACCTCGAAAGGAAAGGCCGGGGAGTAAACAAGGACTTCTCCATGCAGCATGGTGCAAGAAGGACTCCCGTAAGCGGTTAACAGTCTTGACAGTTAACTGAGGCTGGGTGCATCACTGTTAGCCTTTTTCGGTTAACAATTAACTAACGGAGACAGGGTGCATCACTATTAACCTTTTCGGGTTAACAGTCAACTAATCGAGACATGGTGCATCCTGCTAACTTCTTTTCTCTCCTTATTCTATTGGACCAAGAAGTCTTGGCAGGAAGACCCCAAGGGCCCAGTCCGCGACGGGCTTGAAACCCCTCGTGACGCCGATGATTCCGGAGTCTGTTAACACGGAGGAAGCGAGGAAGGAACGCTTCGCTTCATTTACTGGCCAATCCTCCAGAGTTTCTCGAGGAGGGATTGCCAGTGGTCGACGGCCTTTTCCCACGTGCGATGCGAGCTCGCAGTTTCCTCGCGCTTCGCTTCTTCCTGGGGTGATGGATCCACCACAGACAGGTATTTTTGAGTTGGTTGGTCTGATAGCGGAGTGCCAAAATATTGGGTAGTTGGCTCTAACACCCTGTTCCTTACACATTCACAACACTCTGTCAGAATCTTATCAATCGAGCCCTCTGTTCAGTGCTTTCAAACTGCATTAAATCCGGTTCTGTTCTTCGTGATCACTGTGCCTTGTGACTGTTGCTAGTTCAACAGATCCACTTCATAGACCTCGGCCTGAGAGCCGTGGTCGGGGATTATTCAACAAGTACCTCATGGAATCTAACGTGAATACGGCATACGACAGCGAGATTCGACTTCGATATTTTGCTGGTGAAGACCTTAGCTTCGATGAACAGTGCCTCGCAGGTTCTGTAAGGCTAAGCTTGTCCACCCGTTGCCATTGAACACTTCGATCGTTGGACGATAACCACTGACAGCGCGGATGCGAATCGGTCATGGGACCGTAGGATAACTAAGATCCCCCATGGGGTTCCGTGGCCCATCAGGCTCTCAGTCAACGGCTTCATCTGCCGCTGGGCTCCACTGCGTAGAAACTGTGCAAGTCCCACCTTCCCCCCCCCACCCAAAGTATTCCCCAAGTTTCCGTCTGTCCTCCGTACCTGGTAGTAACAGAGCGTTTGACGACTCGAGAAACATCCAACGTCGAAGAAGGTCTCGCAGTACGAGATACCCATGTCCTTAGTGTGGCGCTCCTCGCAAGGGGTGCCTGGTTTAAACCGCCTCACTCCACTCCAAGAGGAAAAAGAGAGGTGCGCTTGGTTGAAGGTGATCTCATGTCAGGGGTAGCGACGGCACGCCCGACTTGGCGCTCGACAATGAAATAAGCGTTCATGTTGGCGATGAACAACAAAAAGGGGCAATCGTACCCCGATGAAGCACCATCCAAACACTATCCTCGGCCAACATTGAACATACTTGGAGCCCTGAACTTCCAGTCGCCACCTGCCAATCCTGAGTCCACGATCAGCGTTTGCCATGGGCTACTCTTGCCGGTAGTGGTGGGTCTGCGAGGCGCGTCCGCTTACTCTGGGCGGTGTCTTCCTCGGGCCCAGCGGGTCTCTTATGGCCGTTGGAATTGCTGGCGGGACCGAAACCGAATGGTAACGTTATCTGACGTCGTCTCTTCTTGCTCTTGGAGGGAGCGATAATGTGTGTTTCGGGAATAGTTGGCGCGAGCTCGGATGGGTGGACATTCTGTGCTGCTACTGCTGATGGTCCCTGCTTGCAATCGCCGACGCCAGCCCAGCCCGCTCTGGTATCCGCAGCAGTAACCATGCTAGGGAGGTGCAGGAACTCGTGCCACCGGCTCTGCAACGGGCGATGGCCAGTCTGCCAAGCGAAAGAAACATTGCGATCCGCAGCGTCTGTACGGTCATCGAACCGGTTGAACGGTTTGACGACTTCGCGGACATGCTTTTCCGAGAGGCCGACGGATAGTTGTCGGAGTATCTGCAGCGTGATGCCTTTCCTCCAGGCCCGCGCGGTGAATCGTATGATCACGTTGGTGAGACGCTCCGTGGCCCATGGTTTGCTGTCGTCGGATACTTGCGCGCGGAAAAGATACGTGGAGCAAGCCCGCAAGTCGGGCCTTTGCTCCCGCATCAGCATATCGACGACGGGGCGAATGTAGACGAGGTATTTGAAGAGGAGATGGCCCGGCTGAACAGGAAGGAATCGAGCGACATAGAACTCCCTGTTGGTGGATCGCTTAGCCTTGTGGCTCCGCGTCAGGTACATCATCCTTCCGTCATAGACGAAGATGCCACATTCAGCCGACTTAGAGTTCTGGCACCGTAGGTGAGGAGGTCTGGTGCCCGCGGCTGGCCACCGCCCGTCACCAGCATCAGCAGTGCGATGACCTCGCGAAATGCCGTTTCCTTCCGCATGTACTTCAACACTTCGTTCCAGTTCCATCTGCCATTCTTCGAGAGGCGGTTCAACTGGCTTGTGCAGTGTCACGGGTCGTGACAGTGTGTGGTTCATGTGCGCAACTCCTGGTTCGACTCAGGCCGTGCTAGTGGAGGGCAGGGTGCTGCTGCTGCAACAACAGGGGAAAGTGTGAAGAGGATAGGGCAGCTCCCTGCCCAATCAGGGCCAGACTGTCTCGCGTGCCCTGAGGCAGGGGTCTTGCCCCACATCTGTGTTCTTTTGAGTCCTTGTGGATCCATGGAGGGTTATAAAAGTGCTCAGAAGCCTAGGAAGGTCTTAATATAACTAGTGGCGTAGCCAGTGCTCCTTCCAACAACAACCCCGCTTGACTCAGAAGCAGGCTTACCTGTATATATTATGTAGGCCAAGGGCACAGCGGTGTAGGAATAATAATATATATTATGTAGGCAGCTGTTTGACGCAAATATTTCACTCCTTCCCTTGTACTTCTTCTGGAACGCCTAATCTCGGATCATCATCAAAACCGCTCAACGCAGACACTCACCCGTCGCGTTTTGTCCCTGGAATGCCAATGGATTTAGCCAAGCCAGAGCTTGAACAGCTCTATCGGCGCGCCATCGCCGACCCCCACTCCATCTCGCGCGCCGAACGCAACGCCATTTGGGGCTACCCACCCCCCGAGGAGGAAGACCGGCTGTGCGTCGCCAAGACGGGTCTCACCCGGGCCGGGCTGGTGGCCAAGGCGGCCGCGCAGCCGGACGAGCTCACGCTGTGCGAAGCCAAGATTCTCCATCATCATCGCGGCGTGAACTTTGACGAAGCCGAAGAGGCCGCGCCGATTACTGATACTCTTGACGGCTTTGATCGGCTCGAGGCGGCGCTGTGGGAGTGTATCATGGAGGAGCTGCGGGGGCCTACGCCGCTGGAGAAGCTCTACAACGAGGCAGTGGCGCGATTGTGCGCTGTCCGCTCACCCGAGGAGACCACCGCAGTGACGAATGCCGCGAGGCGAGAAAACGAACTTGCAATGGCTGATTTGGAGACCCACGAGATGTTGTGGCGGGAACACGAAAAGGCGAGGAGGTTAAAGGTCGGCACGCCCTGGATAAGGCGAATTCTTGGAGCCGGTCTGCTCGAGGACGGCGCCGAGTGCTGGGGCTTCGTTGTCTTCCGCACCGGGTGCTACCACGGCGAAGAGAACGAGGCCTCGTGGAAGAGGTTTCGCGATCACTTGCTCAAGGTCGCCGAGACATCCTTGCTGAACTATTACAGCGGGCCCGAGCTGTGGCCTTCGCTCCGCATTGTCTTCGTTGAGGACAAGGAGTTGGAGGGTGCCTCGAATGAGCAGCTCCGTATCTGGTTCCGGAAGATGCGTGATGGAGCCGGGGGCGAGCAGCATCTACCCAAAGGGATCAGGACCAACTGCTTCCTCGTTGCCGACGAGGCAGTTATCAGGAGCGAGGCGGCCCAGACGCCATATACACCGAGGTTCAGGTATATGGACGTTATAGAATTCGGCGTGGAGATCCTGGACGAGGATCCGGTGGTATATATCCGCGCCGTCGACCCGGACTACGTGTCACCTGGCACTCCTGCTGCTCCTGCTGAGAGAACCAAAGACGACACTGCGGACAACGCTCCTGGAACCCCCC